GATTTCGGGTAGCCCCGCTCACATGAATGTCGGGTATCACCGCCCAATTTTATTTCGTCGATAAATGTACGGTTTCAAAGATTATTATTTTATTGCTTCAAACTTTAATGTTATATGCATTTTTAACAACAAATATTGTTGTTATTAAATTATTGTTATTAAATTATAGAATTCACTAAAAGTATATAAATATGTAATAAATAAAATAATTTTGTGATAAAAATGATAAATGAGGTTTATCTATTGTCAATACATTGGTCACTTTCATTTACACCTGAAAAAATAGTCAAAAAACACAATTTTTGTAACTGGGTGGGGCTACCCGACACATTTTGAAAAGCGCTGAAAAACATGTTTTTTTAACTTTCTATTTTTTTAAGTTAAACTATACTTTTTTTGGTTTATTCTTTTTGTATTATTTAATTAGATGGTAAAACTATAGAAACATACCAAAATATTGATTATTACTCAATATTATACTGAAATATAAGCAATACTCCTTAAGTGGGCGGAGCTACCCGACTCTCCCCTATATATATATACAGAATTGACATCTGATCATCCTCAGGGATGTTTCCCAGACTTTCGCCAATAGCCCATTGTGCAATTCAAGTGCGATGTAAATAAAATACTACTAATTCTACTTTTATTAATTACTTTAATAATAATCCTTAATTACCACTAAACAAGCATCTTTTCATAGCTTGCTCTTTGCTTTCCGGTCTCACATTGTAGTGAGGATCGACACCCAATCTCACATTGTTCTAAAAATGCAATAAAATTAATTAGTAACTGTTACTTTAACTCATTGCGGTTTTCTAAACGTACGTTCCTTTTATAATATGTATAAATGGAATTATTAAAAAAAAAGACATTACTGTTCTGAGTAAATATAAAGATTCAATTAAACGAATATTTAAAGGTAAATATACAGTGTGTTTCGTAGTTACCATTTAAATATATTTTTGGAATTGTTTTCAAAAATAAAGTAGCAAGTATAGACGCGAATCAGCGTCAGAATCACTCACAGCCTGCGTGGATTTAAAAGTATCAAAATGAACTTGAGCATCGGATGAAAATTGAAAGGCAACTATTAGAAATGCTTTACAGAAGAATCAGATAATCAAATAACTTTGAGCAGCGGTGGCCCAGGGGATAGAGAGCTCGCCTCCCAACGAGGTAAAACCGGGTTCGAATCCCAGTGATTGCTGGTCGACACGAATTCCGCACCCAGCTCGCACCGATCACAGCGCTGGCGTAAAATATCCTCAGTGATAGATGGATCATGGGTTAGAGTTCCCTTGCCGTCTGGCAACCCGTGGGAGGCTTTCGTGTTTTCTCTCTCCATGTAAAGCAAATGCGCGTTATTTCCATCAAAAAGTCCTCCACGAAGGCGAATTTCTCCTAATACTTAATACAGGGGTTCTTTTGTCTTTTGGATTGGGATCAAATTTACAAGGCCACGTAGTTGAAAATTGGTAGTTCTAAACTCAAAATTGGATCGGTCGTTCAACGACGGTGATAAAATCAAATCAAATAACTTTGATACTTTTAATCTTATCTTGTGTCCTGGCCTCGATAATCATTCGTAAAATTTTGATAACATTTATGTTATTTTCTCACATAATTTTTTCTTCAGAACTTTAACTGGTAATTTTTTAATTTCATTTTTGTCGAAATATCTAAAAATGCAAAATAAATGTGATACGTTAATGACAGTTATTACGAAACACCATTCATATCTGAAATAAAGTGCAATATAAATATGTGAGGGAGTCTATAATTACTAATTAGATTTCGTTGCATTTTTCAGTAAGCCTTATCGTAGAGTACCAACTGTAAGTATTGAATCAAAACCTAACTACTGCTATACAATAGAGTCGCAGTGGGAAAAACCAAATTCAACGGATGAAATTCATCCAAATACTTTCTGTAAGTATGTTTTCCAATTTTTTTTATCTTGATTTAATGTATTTTTAGCTTGAATAAGATTTGACTTATAATAAATAAGATGTTCCGTAATGACCACCCTTAATCAATATTTTTAGACACCTTGTCCAAGATGAAGAAAGGTACCGCAAATAAATACCCAAGCAAAGATATACCCTATTAGAAATCTGACGAATCACTGTTAAATTACGATGAAATTGAAACACATCCAAACCAGTTTGAAATCTCGAGGGAAAAAAGAGGACACCTTCAAATTTCATCCGAAGTTTTGATGTTTTCAATTCTGTCTTCCCGCACAGCGATTCGAGAGATGTCTAAGTTTTTTTTTTAACGTTGCGTAAATTATTATTTTTGATACCTAAAGACAAGAACTCTATAAAAATATACTGTGGTTGGTTATTAGAAATATATATATATATATATATATATATATATATATATNTATATATATATATATATATATATATGCATGCTGAATTAGTAGTAAGAATAAGCACAAGAGCTAGAAGAACCGCCTGAGATAAGTAACTTTCAGCGGAACAAGGCATTGCTGGTTTATTTTAGTTATCATAAAGCAGTGCGAAATACTGTTTGCAATCAACAAATCATTTGGTTATTTTCTTTAACTTTGTTATTAACTCTTTCCTAGAAACCACTATCACTTTTTTTGTCAATTTATTAACTCTTGTAGTTTGCTTGTGGATAGCAAACAGATTTAAATACTGTTAGCAATCAACAAAACATTTGATTTTTTTTTTTTAAACTTTGTTTTAACTCTTTCTTACAAACCACTAGCTTTTTTTTGTCTATTTATTAACTCTTGTTTGTTTTTATAATTTGAGACCAAACTTCTTAAATAAAAAATTTGGTTTTGAGACTGGTCATGCTGCATACCTCACAGGGCAGGCGAGAGGGATACATCTCTATCCTACGAGATGATATTCTTGAGCAGCTGATTTATGATTAAATAGTGATAAAAACGAAGGCATAAGCTAATAATTGATGTTAGAGATAATTGCATAATATATTTATAACATTATTTTATTCTGATAAATATGATGTGAATATTCCTTTAAGAAAATAGAATTTTTTTTCTTTCGAAAAATGTTTCATGAAGCTTTCAGGAATTAAATTATTTTTTTTAAATTTGACTTTGATTTTTAAGATTTAGCAGCTGTAACACCTAAATATATATTTTAAGTAGAAACTGCTTCAAACACACCTTAATTTTTTTGTTTCATATTCTAAAATTTTCCAGAATGTAGCAAACCTGGTTCACTCTTGTTGTATCAGTTAGTAGAATGGTGTAATTTACAAATTTGATACTTTTTGTCCTCTTGGCAGAATATAGTTGTTTATTAACTATGAGAGTCAATTGAATTAGCCAAACAGGATAACAATTATATGAGCCAAGGAATATTCTGCAGATTTTTGAATACCCCGCAGTTGGGCCACATTTCAAACTCAACGTTCCGTTTTTGGAACATTGGCAGTGGAATGGTTTAAAGTGATAATGAAATAAAAAAAAATAGCTACAGGCCCATTTATGGAAACTTTCTAAATCTATAACGGAGAGCTACCTTCATTAGGCCAATGACACTTATTTTCATTTTCCAATGTTTACTTAACTTTTTATGTTTATAAAGTTCACGCCCAGGTAACGCAGCGATAATTACATTAACATTATACAAAAGCAATAATTACATTTCACAAAATTATAAAATTGCAGAATTTGATGCTAAAATCAATTACTAAAATTAAGTGGCCCAATGATAGCAACCAAGCCTTATACTATTCTTAAATAATAAACACAACCTTTTGAAATCTTTAGATTATGACATCAATTTAAGAACTCAGCCAGAAGAATACATTGTATATTCAGATCCTGTTCAAATTTATGTTGCTGTTCACGATCGTAGGAGGTTGGTTAATCCCTATACGGAAGGGTATGTTTTGAAAGGGGGAGTCAAGTATCAAGCTTACGTTTCTATGGTAAGTCGCAATTCTATCTTTATGGAATGATTATTATGAGAATTGAAAAAGTCAGTAAAATTTCAAATGTCTGCAAATATCAATACAAGGTCAAAAAATTACTAATGTCAATGTTAGTGAAATGGTTTTCATGATAAACTTCCCAAGGGTTCTGTCTTCGTTGGGTAAATACAGTTTCTTTGATACCAAGTAACTCAAGGGATGTTCCCATTCATTTTTATTTCATATCATTTATCAAACAGTTTTATTTCGAAGCCGTAAAAACGTATTATTTGCTTAAGATTGGCACGGAATAGCCAATTCCAACTTTCGTACCATTAAACTCTATCAGTTCAATTCATTCAAAGATAACCTTGTAAAATCTCAGAAGAGCGTTGAAAAAAAAGTTTAAATGATTATAATCATTTAAATTAAGGTTAACAAATAGCGTAAAAAAATGCATCGCTCTTTACTAGACAATTGCGGACTGGCATTGGAATATTAAATAAAATTATATATATATATATATATATTCATTCAGAGTGTTCCGAAACTCATGGTACATATGTAAGGGGTGATAGAACAACTAGACAAGCACAAATCACCATACAATCTAGGGTCCGAACACAAGTCGAAACGCGCAACAGGGCTCCTCTCAGCGATACGGTGATTTGTGCTTGTCTAGTTGTGTTTTATCACACTCTAACGTATGTATCGTGAGTTTTGAGACACCCTGTAAATACATATAGTTTAAAAACTCACCCAACAGTTTCTGAAAATAAACCATAAATATTGAAGCCATTAATGCATATAATACCCTGTAACCAGTGAACAATATTATCTACATTAGTTCAAATAGGTGAAAATTCTGTGAAGTTTAAGAGACCATCACCAGACAACTGAATTTCAACCTGATAACTTCGTAGACAACGCGCGCCTGTAAGCAAGCATTCATGTAAATGGACAGTAAAAGAAAAAAAAACCTCTTTGTCGAAATAAAGAGTAGCCATTCATTGAGTAACTACGCGAAACCCCCAAAAGCAAAATCCAAATACAATTAATAAAGGCAAAAATATTTCAGGCATCAAACATAAAAGCATTTTATGGATTTGTAAGAAAAAGTTATATATGCCTCTACATATGTAAAATTCTCTTTATAGACAGAAGAAATAAGCTTGCCATATCCATATAAAACTGATTGTACAGACTACATTCATCTGTGGAGAGAAAATAATGGAACTGGTCCTCTTAATCAGCTGGTAAGACAGTACAATTGTTTACTTTGCAAATTGTTTACAATTGTTAGACAATTGTATACTTGGTAAATTGCTTACAATTGAAAAAAAAACAACTGATTACAACAGAAAAGATTGTTCAGACAATAGTGAAAACGCTTTACTTAAAACTCGAATGCTATAGAAGTCATATTTATTTTTACTATAAATTATTTTTATTTTACAACCGCCGTTGAACAGCCGACCCAATTTTCGGGGTTTATGACTACTAATGTTTAACTACGTAGCCTTGTAATTTCGAACCCAACCCAGAAGACAAGGGAACTCCTGGATCAAGTATTGCGGGAAATTTGCCTTTGTCGAGGACTTTTTTGATGGTACTAACCCGCATTTGCGTTGCATGGAGAGGAAGACCACAACCTCCCACTGTTAGCTTGACGGCAAGGGGACTTTAACCCATGAAGCGTCTACCACTGAGGATATTTCACGTCAGCACTGTCGTCGGTGAAAACCAGATGTGGAATTCGTATTGACTAGCTATCGCTGGAATTCGAACCCGCTTCACCTCATTGGAAGGCGAACGCTGTACCCCCTGAGCCATCGCGGTTCAAGTCATATTTATTGAGTTTTAAAGTTTAAAAAAAATTAGAAGTTGAAAAAATTTCAAAGTAAATTTTTTATTTTACTAAACTATGTACATTAGAATTTAAGCGTAAAAACTTTTATTAGTCATTATCGAGGCCCGTAAAAGCGAAGGAGCGACTGAATTCTATAAATAATCAGTTTGCCTGGAATATAGTTGCTTTTCGTAAGGGATTGTCTTTCATCACCATCTGAATAAATTGCCTAAAAATGATTTATCAGAGTTTTGGAAAGATTTTTTTCCTTTTTTCCCTTGAGAATTAGTTCGCGACTCAAATGAGGACGCATTTTTTAATTCATTTCTTACAAGGATTCCAAAAATATACATTAATGCCTGTCATTTCCGAACACCCTGTTTATTACTTTACAGTTTCAAACTAATAATTTTTATTAAAATTTTTTTAAATTCTAAATACGTAAATCTCATATGAACCAAAAAACGATAATTTAAAATGAAAAAATGTAAACAATGTTTTGGCAAGAAAATAAAAGACCATGAATGACGCAATTTTCAAATCATTTTTTTAAAATTCCAATTTAAAATTTCACTATAAAAACACTTTTTCGATATAGAATTATTTTACAGCAGTAGCATGTATGCTGTGCAAATTTTGAAAACTTATCTCAATATATTCTTACAGAAGATTTTAATGTAGTGTAAATCGATGTGAATCGAACATGCATATTAAAGTCGTTATCCAAACACATATCTAAGAAGAGCAACTCACTTCCTGCTCCATCAGGGCAAGAAAAATCGATTAAATAAAAAAGGAGATAAAAAATTATCCCCATCGAAATATAGCCACCTCTGATTATAACCAAAATACCCGCCACAATTACAGATAATTTGAAGTATGCGATGTTGCTTACCATTTACCAATATCTGGAGTACAGCATCAACAATATTATGAAAGGTTTCAACGATCCTAGCCTTCAATTCTACCACAGACTGAAATTGCCCCTTTTTGGTACGTAGACCCCTTCTTGAGAATAGCCCCTCACGTTTTCTTGTGAGGAAAGGACATGCTATTTATAATTACCACTCTTTTATCAGAAACCTACCACAGTGAAAATTTTTCGACGTAAATTGAGGTATCATCCTGCTGTAAAATCTGGCATAGGCCACTAATTCTCTCTACGAATGACCATAAATGGGTTTCTAGCATTTTTTTGTGAATCGGTAGCTTATAGACGGCGTGGGGGAGAGGCTAGATTAGGTTGACCACTATAGCAGTAACCTTCCCACACAGTTAACGAGCCTCCACCTTGCAGTATAATAGAGATGAAATCCTCATCTAATCTCACGCCATGCCAATTGCACATAAAACTGCCTGGATCATCCAAATTCGGCTTTTTTTCCTACTCTCCTATGCTTGAGGATAGCTTTCAAATTAAGATACTGCTTAGTTCTTTTATATAGCAAATTGTTTGCATGATACATAGAAGGAAACATTAGATGAGAGAAAAAAATAAAATCTTCGCCAATGGACAACAAAGTGGAGGCTCTTTAATGGAGTGGGAAGACTTCGGCTATGGTGTTTAATTTAACTTGTCTTATTCCCCAGGTCGCATGAAGGATACCAATTAGCGAAAAATGCTAGTAACCCATTTATTTCCATTAATAGAAAGAAATGGAGGTTCAAGCTATATTTTCCGGTAGGATAATACCTTGATTTACAATGAAAAATCTTCACAGTGTTTTTTTTTTTGGATAACGGGGTACATGTCATGAATGCCCTGTTCTTTCTCTTAATTTCAATCCCAAAGAAAACGTGGGAGCTATCCTTAAGACTGTATATGCTAAAGAGATGCAGTTTCAGTCTGTAGCAGAAATGAAGGCTATCATCATCATTGAAACTTGGCATAATACTGATGGTACTGTCCTCCAAAGAATGGTAAATGGTAAGCAACAATGCATTTTTCAAGTCATGCATAGATGTGACGGGTATTTTGCCTATAATAAGAAATGGCTTTATTTCGATGAGAGACTTTTTACCTTCCATTTTTACTTATACGATTTTTTCCCTTTCCAGGTGAAGCAGGGAGATAGTTAATCCTTGTAAATATGTGTTTGACTATCGACTTTCTTAATAAACATGTTTGGTTCACATTAGTTTCCTTTGCATCCAACTTTGGCGCAAAATAACAAATCAATTATTTAAGTGGGACACGCTGCGCTATGAAATTTGAAAACAACAATTTTAAAGGGAAATATTAGTGAGAAAAAGCAGCTATTGTATGTTAATTTATGTATCGCATAATAAACAAAAACATGCATATTACGTCAAAATAGTTATTCATGCGAAACTGAACTGCAAAACAGTAGATTCGATAACTCTCAACTTTTAATAAATTTACTTGAAAATTTAAAAGCTTCTATATCAACATAGTCGCTTTCGTAACACATAAGATACTTTCTTTTTCTTCACAAAATGGTGGCATATTGAAGAAAACATCTAATTTTGTGCTTTTGTTTTAATATTACTTCTTTAGATGTGTATCGAGTTTTGCAAATTGAATACTTTAAAACAACAAGGTTCTTGTATTGATGAAAACGTTGCATATCCTCATGAAGAAGTTCTATGTAAAAAAGGTAAGTTACTTGGACATAAACTCAAAATGTGTCTTATTAAGTATGAAGAGATTTTTAAAAATACAAGATTTTCAACAATCGTTGCCCTTTATATATATAAATATATATATATATATAAGCTCACCGGACAAAAAATTAGTCACCCTAGTGCGCAAACACCGATGAATCCTTACGCTTCGTTAGATGACGCAGTGGTCAAGTGACGTGCTCAACTGCATGCACACTGCTTCAACCTGATCAAAGACAAGTAGCTATCAGTGAGATATTTTTGTTTGGAGCGGAAATTGTGTGTAATTATGGGTAAGAGTAAAGATATGACGTGCCAATGGTCTTATGGTGAATAAAGTTGCTGGATTTGTTGGCGCTTCAAAGCTGACTGTTCAACGTGTCTACAAGCAGTGGTGTAATATACGTGGTCACGAAAGACGCCGTCAGAATTGTGGTCGGAAAAAGATCCGGCATGAAAGTGGCCGGAGACGCGTTTCACGACTTTTCAATCAAAATCACTTCCAAACTGACAGGAATTACTTCAGTTGCTAAATGAAGATCCACCCCAGTCTCTTAGTGAGAAAAAATTGCGAATGGAGCTGCATGCAATGAACATATGGAGTCGAACATCTCGTAAGAGGTCATTGCTCGCACTTGCACATAAAGTTGTGCAACTTCAGTGGGATAGAAGTCATCGAACATGGACAGTTGCTGACTGGCGGAATTTAATATGGTCTGAAGAATCACGTTTTTGCATTTATTCAAGAGAAACACGTCTGCAAGTGCAACACAGACCAGATGAAGCATTTCATCCTGACTGTGTACAAGCATAGGTTCAAGCCGGAGGTGGGTCTGTCATGACTTGGGGGTGTTTTTCTTATTATGGATTGGGCTCCTAACTGAAGGGGCCACTAACATGATCCAACATGTTTTTTGAAAGTTCTGGACAAATAGGAGTTGTCTTTCAGTCACCCTCTTCATGTAAAGTGAGTTGTCGATACCCCTATTTTTCAAGATGACAACAGCAAAGTTCATGGGGCTGGAAGTATATATGACTGGTTTTATGAACACTCAGACACTCAATTACATCTTGGCTGGCCAGCAAAATCACATGACTTGAACCCCATTGAAAATTTGTGCGACATGTTGGAACAAGGGGTAAAACGCCAAATACAGCATTCTCACAATTTGGTGAATTTGCACGATCAAATCCTCAACGAAGGGCTTAAACTGGATTCGACGTACTTGCAAAATCTTGTGAACTCACTTCCTAACCGAATCCAGGCGGTCATCAAATCTAAAGGCGGAGTTACACATTATTAAATGATCTTTTTCATGATTTCTCTAAGGGTGACTAATTTTTTGTCCGGTGAGCTTATAATGACGTGTTGATTTGAATACATTCTGAACAATAAGAACTCCTAAAATATCAAGCCTGTTCACAAATCGACTCGCAAACACAGCAAAAGCGGAGAGATACTCCAGCAGTTTTCAAGATTCCGTTCTGAAAGTTTACATTCGTTAACCATTCCATAAAGAATACTCAAAAACGCTAATGCCTTCTTTGAAGGAAACACTTAAAATTCATTNTATATATATATATATATATATTACAACTGTTAAATGAAGTATAAAAATTATTTTTTAATTGAAAGGGAAAAAACTTCCCCAAAATCTGGAGAATCATTATCGAGATCACACGTAAAGTGCGATTAAAATTAACAAAACCAGTTTCATTGTCAGATAGAGGTGACAGATAATTGTCAGAAACATACAATTTCTTTTGGTAATCATACTGAAATTTTTAATCAAGCCTTGATAATGTCAGGACTGTGACGTCAATACTGATGTTTTTGTTATTTGTCTGAATTAAATATTAATTTCCGACTTCTACAGTTCATGTTTTGTTTTTTTTTGGTTAAATTTTTTATCTATTTAATACTCTTCTGACAAGGATTCTAAATAATTAAGAGTGGTAAGTATGGGGAACCCGGTTTAGAACTCCATTAAAAGAAATACATACATTCATATGACGTAAACAGTTATTTCGAATATTGCATAACCAAATTTGGCTCGTTATAGATATTCTGTTATATATTGCCGAAGCTTTTTAGAGTATAGAAAAATTTATATTAATCCCTTCTTCAATTTAAAGTTAAACGCTTTATAGGACCACTTTTTCCTAGTAATGTTGAAATATTTTTAGAATCGATTTATTACTTAAAACTAATTTCATTTTTAAATAATTTAATTTCTTCGTAAGAAAAGTTGTAGAGATTTTTCTAAATTTTACATACAGTAAAAAAATAGCCTGGTTGGTAGGGCACTGCGCCCATGTCTAAGAGATCGTGTGTTCGATCCCCACCGACCGAAGACTCCCCATGTAGTAAATGGTGACTGATGCACGTTAAATCTGTTGAGTCACACAGTCCTCCATGTTCCCATAACAAATCAGACCTCTGGGGGTACTGATCCAGGAGTTTCATTGTCTTCTGGGTAGGTTCAAAATTACAAGGTTACGGAGTTAAACATTAGAAGTCGTAAACCCAAAATTGGGTGGGCTGTTCAACAACGGTTATAAAATAATAAAAAAATGCTCCCACAAATCATAGGTGGAAAATTAGTTCCCCATTGATAGTTAAAAATTTATGAATTTTGGTGGGAAGTATGCTTTCTACATCCTTAGAAAGGGTTAAACAAAATAAGAAATAAAGGTTCAATTTTAAAGAGCTTCTGGCATTTTTTCAAAGCCAAGGATTTTATTCGACTATATACAAGATAGTGATTTTTTAATCAAAATAAATAAAAAGCAACCTTCATTGAAAGACAACGAAATTTTGTTATCATTTTTTAAAATATATAAATTATTATTTACGGTTCTTTGTTTTTAGGAGTTGTTACAGCCACTAGTAACATAGTTGAAAAATGTACAAAACAATGCCATCCACCTTGCAAGTATGTTCCTTTAATTATTTTTAATTTATGAAACATATTTATCTCAAAATAATTTAATAGGTAAAAGCAATTTGTAAAATATCTAAATTTTAATGAAGCAATACTGCTATGAATGTTATACGAGTTAACTATCTTGGATTGTTGCAATTCTAATTGTGGTTGATCATAATCTTCTTTGAATAAGTTTATTTCCATTTTTAAAGAATGAGTAGTATGAGTTTCCATTAGGGAGTAGTTTAATTTATTTTTTAGCAAGATTGTGTGTGGATATCATTTTCCTTACTTCAAAAGGTTCTTGATAAGCAGCATTTTCAGTAACAGTTGAAGTCATATGCTCAGTAGCAGAATTTATGCAGTACTATCTTAAAAAATTCAAATTCGTTTCTGACTTTAAACGCAGTCAAACTGTTATTATTGTAAAAAATAAGCTTAACCCCTTAACGATTTTACTATTTTCAAGAAAACGGTCATAAAAGTGCCCTTTTTTATTCAAGAAAATTATATGAAAAAGGTGTATATACAATATATACATTCTTTCTTGATTTTTCAATTTTTTTCAGCTTGGAATTTAAAACACCATGTGTCCATGTAACTCTGATGCCATAATGCCAATATTAAAAATTATTTTATCACAAAACACAAACCACATGTATTCAAAAAGAACATAAGTAGCTGAGCTAAGAGTATAAAATACATAGATTTGGATAGTGCTAACATCCAGTTTAAAATGAACTTATTATCTCCAGTCAAATTAAAAATAGTCAAGTGTGTAAAATAAGAAATAAAAAAAATTCTGGGCACAGGAGAAGGATATATTAAACCTTTTTGGTGCATTACTTCTGAACGTTCTAACCCAGAAATATCATGGGCACGAGAAATAGGAGACAAAAGCACGACCCATGATTTTGATGACAGCGAAAAGGAAGGGGTTAATCTAACACATATTAAGAAAAATTAGCAAATATTAAATATAATAAAGTTTTACACAAAATCTGCATGTTTAAATTAAATTTGAATTTTATATAATTATTCTATAGCTTTGTCCAAAAGGAGAAAAACAGATGCTTTTACTCTGCCCAATTAAAAAATGAGAATGAAAGGATGAACTTGCGGACATTAAAATAAAACATTTTCAATTTAAAGGAAAAAATAAACATAGTTGTTATTTATGGTCTACTGATTCAGCCTTATTTAAAGTTACTTCAAATGAAATTTATTGACATACCAACACAGGTACTTCATAGACAAATAAAACAATAAACAAAAAATTTTTATAATTTTTAAAAAAATAGAAAAGTATTCCTTATCTTTCATAACTAAAGAATAAAATAAAAACTTTTTTTTTATTGGTTTATCAAGTTTTTACTGGTTCTTGATCTTTTTTGCTAGCAATTTTTTATCCATTTGTTATTAAATAGAAAGCTTAGGTGGAAAACAGTCTGCAGAAGCTGTGATAATCTGCAGCGTCTACTGCTGCATTGGAGCGTTTCTGCTACGTGAGTCTGGGTATTTTCAATATTAGTTCAGGTATAAAAGTTTATAAGCCGTCTTAGGTATTAAAACGTTACCTAGCCAATAGAAGTTAACTTTAAGTCTTTAAATATCTTAAAAATAACTGAAAATATAAAAATTACATTTTTGCGTTAATCAAGCAAGTTTTATATATAGTCCAAGAAATTCATTAGGAGTTAATTTTTGCATAGATTACAAGGGTTTGATTTCCAATATACTAATATTTTGTTAAATATTAATATAAAATTAGAGTCCATTTATTTTATCCATTTTTGTTACTGTCTGAAACAGATAAAATTTAATTATGCTGAGATATTCAAAATATTTACAGTAATAAAATAAATGAAAATTACTATTATCATAAACGGGAAGAATACCATTTCAGACTCATTGCCCAGACCTGATATTATTTAACTAAACCTGATATGTTTAACTAAACTATTGATAACATGAAAAATATTTGTAGCTGATATTCTTAAACTATTCTCTAAATGATGATATGTCGAATGTGTGCTTCTTTTTGATTTTGCAGTTTTGTATCAAACTACAGTAAGTTTAGAGTTTAATTATTTCGGTTAAAAAAACTTACAGATTAATTCCTCCATGTTTTACGTAAAAGCTACTGATTTTGAATTACTAGTAATCATTTAAAATGATTATTCAAATTTTTAAAATCAAACTATAGCTTTAAACAGAATGAGATGATTCAGCAGGATGTCTAAAATACTACCAGTAGGCCATTTATAGCCCGCAAGACATACTGTAAAGTTGTCTACTCTAGTTTTAGTCCTTATAAATAGAATAGGTGTCTCAAGGGTATGCAATTTTTCCACTCCTCACACTTTCCCCCTCTCCGTTATCATGCTTTATGCAAATCTTGCTTTTTCCCACAGCAGTAGCCTTTAGAAAAAAAATTGGAATCCACTTGTGTGGAAAAAAGTAAGATTTGTTGAAATATTAATGGAGAGATTTGTTGAAACATTATGTGTGGAGAGTAAGATTAAACATGCAATCTTGAGACACCAATTTTTTTTATAAAGAGTATAGTATAATTTCTTAAAATTGAAGTTCCATTAGTTAATTCGAAAAAATAACTAAATGATAATTTTTTTTAATTAAATCAGAAGATAATGGATATCTATACCAAGATTTGTAAATATACATAATGGCTCATATGATTACTAAATAATATAAAGACAAAAAATAATAATAATAGCTTTAAAATACTATACTTGCAGTGATCAAAGGTATGAAGTGAGAACCGACGAAGTAACACGTTTTGATCATTTAGTAAGTATTGAATTATGAGATGTTTATATAATTCTTTATTATTTATTTACTTGATATTTATTTAGGATCATGACAAATTTAATTTTACAAACACAATAGATAAAAAAAATTTTTTTAAAAAGCGCACATTCGAAAGTAAAAGTTCTCTGTTAATAACTTTTCTAGTTCTCAAATTTAAGCATGAAAGTTATGTTCAATTTTCAAAGTGGTTATAACATTTTTCTATTTTTAGTGAGGGGAAAGGTGATAAATTGGACATTTAATGCATTGAACATTGGTACCTCAAATTCTAATCATACTTTCAATTGTTTTTTTACCTAAAAGTAAATCATAATATCAATTATATTGCATGATACTATAAAAGAATATGTATTTTTGAATAGAATTTTTGAAATATTTTAAAAATCAGTAAAATAAAATGGGTAATAAAGCTTTGAAAAAAAAAATATAAAACCAATGTTCGAATTAATGTAAAATAAAAGGAATATCTATTTAAATTTAGGAAAAAAATGAAAGTTAAAATTTTTTTTCATAATTAAAACCCCCTATTTCAAAAAATACTTTCTACACAAAAAGTTCAAAAACCTTCACGGTAATGGTAAAGTTTAAAAATATTTAGTCATGGAAATATTTTGTCTCAAGATGCAAAACTTGAATTTAAAAATTAATTTATGAATAATTTAAATAAAATAAGCCATTATTGAAGCTTGAAGCAAAAAATTCCAGCAAAATTTGATAATCGAAATTATTTAGAAGATTTTTCATCGCATAATATAGATATAGTTAAAGGTTCTCTACAGAAAACTTTGTTTACATATGTACCTAAAAGATTATTAATGGATGTCTAACCTAGTATGGATTCTATTCAGATCACAGAGTTTTCTTTCAATTGAATAACTCTATGAATGCAACCTGTTTGTTAAAGTGCTGTCTTCTAGAGTTATAAATGAAGCTATAGATAGATATTATTTGCAAGTAATAGTATTTTAATGCTCTTTGCATTCATTTCATTTTATAACTGAAAGTTAAGCAATAATAAAACCACTTCAATAATGACAAAAACCATTAAAGAGAGAACTATATGTTATTTAGTAAAATAAGAAACTTTTACCAAATGCAATTCTAGTTGAACATGAAAACATTTGTTTTTATCAAGGTTGGACTCATTTTATTTTGAAAAAATATGACTTTAGAATTCAGGATCCATGATTAATCTAATTTTTTTACAGTTTTTACCTATGTAAATATTTTAATGTAAGATAAAACCACATTTTTGAGTAATTTATATTCTGCAAGAAATAATGTAATTTAGCACAATGTAACTTAATTGGGTAATTTATATTCCGCAAGTGATATGTAAATAAACAATTTTTGTTATGTCTTTTAGGTAATAATTGGTAAATTTAATTTATAAAAAATATGTGAGAAACAAATGTTTTATTTGACAACTACATTTTAATAGTTAATATTTCCTTTCATAAAGAGAAAGATTTTGGTCTACCCATGAATTTACCAAACTTTATGGAATCATTAAAGATTTTTTGAGTTATTTTTACCTTTCACCATCACATTAAGTTTTAATAATTATAAATAACTATTTACTTTTTGCTGAAACTAACATTGTTGTTGTTTTTTTTCAATTAATTATTATATTCTTAAAAATTGATTGAAATAGCTGAAAAAACAAGCTCTTATGATGTGAGATTAGGCACAAGCATATGCAAAATTTTAATCTGGAAACAAAAAAAGGGCATCAAGCTTTTCAAATAATAGGAGTTCTCAGAAACTTTTATTTTTATAGTTTGCATACTTCGAAACTTGCAATCTATTAAAAATATTGAAGTACATAAATTTTTGTCAAGTTGAGATGCATATTTTTACATCATATGACGATTTTAAATTTTGCTAGATAATTTTTTTCCAGGGCTGTTTGTACTACAGATTATGTTTGATGTATAACTGATTCCTATAATTAAGACCTAAAATATGGGAATATAAACTTCAAAGTTACATAAAAAAGTAAATAACATATAGGTCATTTTTTAAATTTAAAACAATATTTTAAAACTATATACTAAAAAAGTAAAATTTTTTTAAATCAATATGTGTGTATGAATGTTATATGGATGTACACTTGAATCTATTTTATTCATTCTTTATAGTGACTAAATCTTTCTAAATATTCTGAATGTAATCCAAAATTCTAAAACATTATTTTATTTCTAGTGTCAACAAAGCAATGAGAATTGCAAGTATGTATAAGCACTTTTAAATTTGTATATCATATTTTGATTATTTACTTCCTAATATAAAAGGCTCACATTTGTAAAATCAAAACTAGTAATAGACTTTAGTTCATTATAGCACATTAGAAATAAAAGTAAAAAAGTTATACTTTCTTAAACTATTAAAAAAAATTTCTTACATTTCTTATATAAATGCTACTCACACATGTGAGTTATTTCCCAATTTACTCATTGAGATGACAGTTTCACTGAATCAACTGTAGACAGTTCAACTGCTCTATAGGATTATCCTTTAACAATCATTGTTATCATGGTTACTCGCAAGTCAAATTTATATTTATACAGATCCAGTTTCTTTTCCACATATATATAAAATTTATAACTTGAAATTATAAATAAAATATCTTGACAACAAAATATACTTCCAAAATAGGTGCAATTGAAATAATATTGAAAATGAAACTTAATAGAGTTGAAATTTTTTTGTATCAATTAAAATCAGTTTTAACTACTTTTAAAAATAAAAAATATATTAAAGAGCCTTTTTTCTGTCAGCCTCATTGGATAATTTTGAGTAATCGACAGCAAAATTATAGAATTTAAAAGTCTTATTTTCAATAGTCACAGATGATATTCACTGCATCTGGATTTAATGATTAGAAATCATAAGCAATGTATGGTTGAAAACGTTTTCCTGATGCAGTAGTGATATCACAAAACGCAAGAAAGAAAAGACACTAACAGTCTGAGAAAGATATGTATATTCTTATTACAGCAGAAAACAAATGAGGTCAAAAGAAGACGATGATCGTGTCACAGAAAATGATTTAAATTATGATTCTAAGAGAATCTTAAGTCAAGGCTATAATGTATGAATGCCCCATCACGTTGAATGGATGAATGAAACAAATTGAGTTTCGGATCATCACTATCATGCTAAGAAAACGTTTTTGATCATGTGTTGTAATGTGATTTTCTATCATCTGTGTAATGTAACTACTGTGTTGTGTCATCCTGTATATTGACATATAATGCCAATTTTATACAATTTCCTTGCCTTTACTCAGTGGCGTGGCAGCCCATAGAGGGCCAAAGCATACTGTGCCCATCTCAGTTTTATTAACCTTGGGCTTTGGAGAGCAAGAGCAGATGTTTAGGTTGGGTGGTCAGCCTAACGCAGAACCCCCAGTGTTAAGTTTCCAAGCATGCTTGGTACTCATTTTATCGACCCACCGAAGGATGAAAGGCTGAGTCAACCTTACCCAGACCGAGGATCAAACCAAGGACCTGTGGCACAACAGCGAGAGGCACTATCCCTTTCCTTGCCTTAACTTAGCTATTTATGCAACAGAGTACATACTTAATATCTAATATTGTGACCAAATAAGATTTCTTTTTCATTTCAGACATGCAGCTGTCATAGTGGTAGTGTCATTTCAAAGGTTCAGAGTAACCAAATTTATTTATCAACCGAAATTTGAAGTAAGTATTTTATGAAATATAACAGATTTATTATAAGTTACCTCAAATTTAAAAATATATAAGAAAAGGTGAAATTAATTACAAAAAAAATTATGGGAGAAATTCTTAGGAATTTTACCTGCTATACATTCATTATTTTCTCATTTAATAACATGAAGAAAAATGGTATTTTGGTGAAGCCAGTAGCTTTAAGTTAAAAAAAACTGGAAGATACACCCATAAGGTAAACTCTTAAATTTGATCAATAAGTATGTTGTTAAAAATCTATTTATTGCGTTTCTATATTATAGAATAAAAACGTCAAGGCCATTTAATTTAAACTCATAATTATTCATAAAGTTTGCAGATGTGTTAAAGGAATTGCCCTACAAGAGTTAAAATAATAAGTTATGGATCTGTTCCATTTTCATAAAAGTACCCAATGTTTCATTCAGGTTGGTGATGTCTATTCCAAACAACAAATGTTTATTCAAAATCCTTTGTGCTTGAAAATACAAAACTTTTCTGACAATTGACATTAATGTTCATAAATATGCAGGTGTAACATGGACAAAGTTGTAATTGTAGCTATAGGGCAGCTACAATAAAAATAAAGACTTAATCTTTTATTTCAGCGAAAAACTAAATGTATCTATTAAATGAATTATGAAAAAAATGTTTCAAGACTTATCGCCGGTAAACATACAACAGGTATAGGTCTTCCATCACAAGTTAGCATATAAAAACAGAGCTCACTGGTAGAGTTTATTCCAGAAATTTAGGGTTTGAAGGCAAAGAAAGTCAAAGGGAAAAAGAAAAAAGGAGTCCGGGGAAAGTAAATAAAGCTTTAACAACTTAAACAATAAAAAAAATTTAAATATAGCATTAATGAAAGTACAGAAATTGACATATTATAATTTTGGTTCTATAAACGAGAACCTTCCTTAGTGTCTAAATACCAAATCATGGCAGAGAATTAAACAGACAAACATATGTAAAGTGGTTTAACCTATAAGGACAGAGGAACAAGTTTGAACATGAAAATAAAAAAGGGAAGATAAAAAACAGGCGTGACCGAATTTGGCAGGGACTCCAGGGTGCAACAGATAAAATTAGAATAGATTTCCAAATATTTGGAAACAGTAGGATACTAGAAAGATCTTTAACTAAATTATTAGAATTTTTCATAACATGAAACGACTCCCAAAAATCAAAGTTCAGTAGATGAAGAACAGTATTGAATGATTTTGCAGGTGAAAACTCAAACCTGTGATTAGAATTCCAATTATGTAGAGCAATGAAAAATCGGTTGATGTCCTGATTTTTAACACATCTTTTTGTGTTCCTTAAGTAGAAGTTTAAGAATATGTTTTAGTTTGTCTAATATACACAAGACTACACCACTGTGAAATTTGATAAATACTGAGTAAAGAAAAGTAAAAACTTGTTATTTTCTTGCTTAAACCTGAATTGTATGCAAGTATGTAAAGAATTCATAATACTGTGAACAAGATCACTGTCAGCATTGTTCATTGATGTGAAAAAATTATCGATGTATTGTCTATAAAAAGGGAACTTTAATAAATCAAAGATTTTCACTTTAAAGTAGTGCATACACAGGTCATTCAAAATGGGGCTAAGCAGATTTCCCATCGCTAAGTTATCAATCATTGGATAAAATTTACCATTGAAAGTGAATGTGGACTGTTCTTAACAAATATGAGTACGATTCACTAATTTGTCAATTTCAACCTCCTTAAAGTGGAATTCTTGTAATATCTCATGTCCAATTGATTCTGTGCAAGTCCAATTGATTCTGTTTAAGAAGAACTTAGAACACTAAATTTGAATTAAATCTGAAAAAAAGCAACTAATTTGGGTATTGAAGGTCAGGTGGGTAGAGTAAAGTTGGTATTAAGTTTAAGTGCATTGAGTTAGTTATTATTTAGCCTAACTGAAGAGAGATTGACAACAGAATTTTGAATAACAGGTGGTAAAAGAAGTTCAAAAATATGGTTTGGTTTGAGCAATTTATCGAATTTCTTCTTAAGGATTAATTTATGTTTAGAGTTGAATAAGTCAGTTCTTAGTCAAAACTGTTTATTAACCAAGTAAAAATTTTAAGTAGAGTTACCGATATTAAATGTAAATCATATAATTCATACTTAGCTGAAGCCAGCTTTTTACAGGTTTCTTAAAAATTAAAATTTACTGTTAGAAATCATTTTAACAGTTGTGTAGTGGGAGTATAAATTACATTTTAAAGCAATTTACTCTCCTTTAAATTAGTCTAAAGCTAAAACATTTTTCTACTAGAATTAATACTTTACAGACATCTTATTTCACATGGTTTATCACGGCCTTTTCACAATTAAACACATACGCTGCTAGGGGTGCTTCTCTAAATTTAACTTTTGATGTGTGTTTCTGAAGAGATTATAATAGGGTAGCACCCCTAGTCATGTACAACAACTTTTCTGGGCATGGGTTGCTATGCAGTTTTAATTCTGATGATGTGTCTCAACTCCCCTAAAAGTTTGCCGCAGCATTTACATGACCTTGTGTTATATATAACATTTTTAAACATAAACAGTAGGATACAAAATAGATGAAAAAGGACATTTATAAAAAAGTCTGTCACTTTAAGAGCAAAACTAATTTCTCATTTAAAATGCTCACTCCCAAATTAAGTAAAATGAAATATTTGTATGAATGCAAAAATTTTTTTTTACCAGTGTAAATAATTGCCATTCACTTCAATAATTAATAATCATGATTTAACTATTTCTTAATAGTAATTACACTAGTCAAATGTAATTGCTGATAATTATTGCTAATATTCAAATAGTTGTACATTGGGATATGTTTATTAAAGAAAATAAACTGAATTTCATCATGGGTATAATCTTGTAATATTATTTTTATACATGCATTTGTAAAAATTAAAGTGTTTCAAACCAGTTTTATTAATTGGAATTAATTTCTTTTCTAGACTGTAGAGCTTTTTAGCTACATTGGAGGATATATGGGAATGTGGTTAGGATTATCTCTGGTTTCTCTGTTTGATCTGGCTGAAACACTTGCATACTTATTTTATTATCCTGTTGGCCGAATGAATTTAAAATCAAAAAAGAAGAAAAAAAGAAGAGTAAATCCATTCAGTCAGAATTGGGAGAGAAATATGTCACTATATTAAAATTTTTACAATTTAATAATATTTTTTATTAATTATGACCTGATAATATACCTGAAGGAGCTGATTTTATTGAAATTTAGATTATTGAAAGGAGATTGATAAAGAATAATAAATGTTAAAGAATTTATAGAGTCCTATAATTACTAATATTTAAAAATTAATGAATTCATGTTATTATAATAAAGCCATATAAAGGAATGAAGATTATAAAAAGAAATTCATTTGACTTATCAAAATTTCAACCAATTTTTATTGCTCAGATATAAAGTAAGATTTGTACAAAATACAGAACTTTTTTGCAATATATGATAGTATTTTCAGAAGAGAAATCTATGAAAATATTATCAAATACTGAGATACAGGAGGACTGTACAGGAGATTGCAATTGAAGTGATAGATTAAAAATAAATGTAAAAGAGAGCAACTTCCAACAATTCTCTACTGAAGCAAACACAAAAGCTTGAGAAAGTTTTATACATTCCTATCAACCAGAAAAATAAGGTATTAAACTTCATTACACTCTAAAGAAAAAAATAAAAATAAATTAATTTGCACCTGCATGACAGCCACTTTAAAGCTTGAAGAAGAAAGAATTCCGACCCCACAATGTTTCTCTTTCTCTATAGAAAGGAACATAAACTCATTAGTATATACAATATTGATTTTTTTAGTGAAATCCAAGCTTCATACGAAATTGAAAATCTTGAACTGTTCTGTTTTTGCCTATATTTAGTGCTAAAACTTGAGGAAAAATGTTATCTTCTTTTAGACATAAATAACTAAACTACCTTAGCTCCTAAAAGTAAATGTGTTAACTTAACTATACATAACTCCCAATTTTCATCTTTGACTCAATTTATTGTTTCAAAAGATTATTTGTCAACAGAATGAAAAAAATAGTTTTATCTTTGAATAATTCAAGAACAATTTTGATACATCTGAGATTTAGATGTTATATCACATTGAAAAACATTGATTTTCTTAAGTCTTTAGTTTAAAAAAGAAGAGCTAAGTTACGATAAATAGAGATTTTTCAAAAAATCTTACCAAATATGATATGATAGTTCAAATTAAATTTCCTTACAAAAACTGTAATAGCCCAATAACACAATTTTGTTCATAAAACATATGGAATTAATTTTTAAAAATTTAAAACTAAGGAAATTTTGTCTAGACAATTTTTAATTGAGGAGAAATTAAATTAAACAAGTCTATTAATTTTCTTCTGTTTTCTGACAATATTTCTTACCCTGTCTTTTATGACTTATAAATTTATAATCAGAAAATTACTGCAATTGAATTATTCTAATTTGAAAGTGTAACATAGCATATAGTGAGTCAAGTAAAACAAATTTCTCCCAAATTTCATCTACATTTAATTATAAGCATTTAGAATCAAGTTTAATGACAGTAAACTTATGATAAAAAATATTCGTCTGAAAATTACTTTTGTAAATGTAACACAAGTATGACTGATTTGCTTATGTTGGTGACAAGGAGATGAAAGTGTTGAATATTCACCGAAACATAATAAAACAATATTTGTAAAGACTTTTCAAGCATTTGTGGATGCTCCAGATCTGATTGGATTTCATCAAAAAATAGATGAGTTGGTTACTTTTTGCAAGAATTGATGCATGTATTAGAATTTTAGAATAAACAATGTAACATATCACCCCTTTTAGAAGTAAAATAATCTTAGATGGGTAGTTTTTCCTTTTAGAAATTAACAAAATGACTCCTTATTTAATATTTGTGTGATTAAGAAAGAAAGTATAGTCCAAGTTTTTATTTAAGGAGTCAATTTTTTAAGTTGATCAACACTACAAAGAAAGAAAGAAAGATACATCGACAGAATGAACACAAAAAAACTTAGCTGTACATAAAAAGTTAGGAAGGAAATGCTTTCAGTAATTATAAAATTTTGCATGGATATCTAAATATCCATCCCAATATTCAGGCCATTAAAAACAAAGGAATTGTGTAGGTTTTAGAGAAATAACTGTTTTGCCAAAAGAACGAAAAAAGGAATTGTATTATATTTTAAAAAAGTACTTATCTGAACAGAATTTTGATGCAATTTAACTTTACATTTTTAAGAAAACATATCACTAGGCATAATAAATCACTGTACATTTCAAATGTTACAAAATTCATGTGAGAACAGGAACAAACAACAGAGTAAGCAATTAATTTAATAATATAATAAAACACTGAGATTTGAAATTAATATACAAATATACACTTATTATCACAACTTGTCGACATACAAAGTAAAATTCTTCATTGACTTTAATTAAAATAGCATCACGAATTCTTTTATTCTCAATTTGAATACTAAGAGATTAAAACTAAATTAAAAAGCCTTAAAAGCATTTATTAACATTACAAAATTACTTACTTCCTAATGCAATATACTAATTCTTCAAACCAAATAATTACAATTGTCCATTCCATCTTTTTTTATAAAAATACTAAATTGAATTAGGCTTGATTTGTTATTGAGTCCTCACAGTTTTCGGCAACTACAGTGAAATGGGTTAACTAGGAGTGCTACTTGAGATCTTTTCTTTAAAACTTTATTTAATACAATTGGTAAAACTAATCATAACTCCATTTTGTAAGGCTTGTTACTTTCAGGAGAGATTTACAAATAGTAATATAATAAAATATAATAAACAGTGAGCTTCATACTTCTTTATGCTTCAATTTTTTCATTTAAGCATTTTTATCAGGAAGACAGAATTTCTAAACTTGCTTACTTAAATATTTCGTAGATAATTATTTATACCATTCTCCATTACAAAAACTGCATTTTTCTTTGAAAGACATTCGAGAAGCAACCTTGGGAGAAAAATTTAACACAACTGAATCATATTTATAGTATTTCAATATCTTATGTTATTACAGTAAAATATGTTAAGTTAATCACTCTTGTAAAATGAACTCAATTATTAGGAACAGAATTTATTCTATATAATATGAGGTTGAAAAACCTTTGTAATTTGATCACCTGTCTATCTTGTATGTTGACCACTAAATTGAGTCAAATTTGTCTAACAGTATTATGAAATGGTATTAAAAAATCTTCCTATTTTATCCTATAAAAATCTTTTTTTCAAAAAATATCTATGTCATTCTGAAATGGTCATTAGAATTTTACTAAATTGGGGAGATAGTGTAATAAAGCTAACATGCACATAAAGCTAACCCCTTTGTGAGTTGACCACTTGCTGAAATTATAAAGGCTTATCTCTTCTTCAAACAATTCCATTCATCCTTTTTTTTTTTTACTGATGTTCTTGATGTGCTGATCTTGAATACCTTTTCTTTCATTCATTCTATGAAAACAGAAGTCAGTTGAAAAGTGTTTCTTGGAGTAGCGAATGTTAGAATTTCAATGAATGAATTCTTTGAATATGCTTAGATCTTTTCTTTGAATGAACTTTGGCATTTCAGTAAAGAAATTCTTTAAAATATGCTAAGATCAAAATGGAGGTAGAGAAATTGTAGAGACAGTTTGGGATACATTTTTACATAAAATGGCTTTAAGAAAAAAGAAAACAAGGTTACCTTTTACTTGATAAAAAACAGAAGAGACAAAATAATGAGCAAAAGAGTAAAGAGAAAACCACTGCTGATAAAATTGAGAAATTGTTTAACTCTTTCAGAAGCTTTAGACTGGACTAAAATTCAATATGTAATGCACCTGATAAGCAACATATCTCTAAAAAGGAAATGGATCTGAATGTTCATGTTGAAAACAAATTGGTTGATGAAAATTTAACGCAACAGTAGCAAACAGAAATTAAAGATTGGTTTTGTGACAAAAATATTTTACGTAACAGAATAACTTCAAAAATGTTGTTAAGTTAAAGAATTGCATATCTTTTTGAGTCATGATATTTCAAGAATTACACATAATAAACACTCCATATGCATCATGAACAAAATAAGATTTTTAAACTCTTTAGTTTAATATTAAAATTAAATAAAAATTGAATTTTATTCAGGTAACTCATTTAATTCATCAGATTCTTTCTATTTGCAATGCTAAAAAAGTTTATGTTGCATTTATATTATTTTCATAGGTGGAATAATAGAAATTATTATTTAATAACATGATATAAAGAATGATAAAAAAAAGACTCATCTCCCCTCTAAAAGTTGATCATTAAAACAATGCACCACAAGTGATCAACTTACACAGGTTCCACTGTATTAAAAACCATAAAAATCTGAGAAATACATTTAAAATATTCAATAGTTTCTTAACACATTATTTATATACTACATTAATCATTGATTATCAATGATGGACACTAGCATATCATTCAATTTTCAACCATTATTTGATCTAGATTTATGACTTTAACACATGTTAAAAATATTTTTTAACAGTTGAAATCATCAACCTCAAACACATCTCATGCTAAAATTTGATTGTTTTCTCAAACATCTTTGTAATTTAACAAAGAAATGTTGTTCAAAAAAAAAAAATAAAGAAAGAAGAAATCAGCTTTTTTAATGAGAAATATAAAAAAATAAAAACTCGAGTACAATCACTATATTTATAATTGAGAATTCCTCAAGATTTAAAATAGTTTAAACATTTGGAATGCAGCATGAGAAAAAAAATGAAGATTTATAAAATAAAATTACAGTTTAAACTAAATATTTAATAGAAATCATAATTTTTTGAAAAAAGAAATACATTTTTAATTTTAAGACAATAGTTATTTGCTTTTTAAATTTTGATTAACTAATTCTACTTTCCCATAAGAAAGCTTTACAGACCACACAAATCATTGATATTATATAAATTTCATTATAAAATATTAAAATTTAGACAGTTGAAAAATAATAATGACATTATTTCAAATTTTAACAACAATGCAAAAGCTAAGAAAAGTTTTTTTTTAAAAAATTTTTGAAAAAATTCATACTAAATCATAAATTAATCCATGTATATTTTGTCTCCGGAACAATATCAACAAAAATTGGGAAATAAGATAAATATTTGTTTCTGCAATTTACAATATTGTTTTGGTAGCACACTCTGTAATGTTACTAATCTAAATTGAGACATCATAAAAACACATCATAAAAATAGAAAAAAAAAAGATAAAAAATAAATAAAGTAAGTATTAAATTTTTTAATTATAAGATATCAAGAATAAGAAGGATATAAAGCTGTTATTAAATATTCATCTTCAATGATAAAAATTGTTTCATCAAACTTGGCCTAATTTTTAGTTTAATTACATTTTTCAAATCTACAATGAACTGAAATAATTATATTATATTAATTATCATAATAAATTTACTTTAACTTTTGATCATAAAAATAATTTTTATCTTTAAAGAAATTAATAAACAAAGAGATATTCTTAAAAAAGGAGGTAATAACATTGTTGTTATTTTGAGTATATCATAGGTTAATTGGTAAATCTGGTTCATTACAAATTCCCAAAATCATTTATTAGGCTTATTGCAGTGAGCCTAGTAGCTGTGCATGGCAAAATGACATTGACAGTTCGCAAAGAGCCAGATTTACTGATTAGCTAACAACATATGCACTTTAGTATCCATGACAAATAATTTACAGCTTTTGGAAATACATGAAATTGGAACTACTTTCATTATTGGAACTTTGAACAAGCCCTTAAATTCTTTCATCTATTTAATGTATTCAGTCATTAATAAAAATTATAATAAATTATTTGAACATCCCTACGTGAATTTAATAATACATTAAATTTCAGAAAATTAGAATATTGTTAGAATTCTATTTTGCAACTAGATTCTGAACCCTGAAGTTCAATTACATATTAATTATCATTGATTTTATAAAGTGTATTTTAAACCAAGAAGTAACTATTATAGAATAGCAAGACGCAAAGAAATAGTAGATTTTATTGACCAATAAAAACAGAAAAATTTTAACTTATTAAAAACTATTAATATTATAATCATAAAACACAGAACTCAAAGCATTTCTAGTGTCTTAAATCAATTCAAGATTTTGAAAGTAAAGCAACCGTTGCTTTTTTTACTGCATCTTGAGGAAACTTTTTTTCATAACACTGCTTAGAATTGTGCGTTTTAACTACCATCAAACTTTACAGAAATATTATCCACTTCAAGTGAACAAAATTGATTTAGAAGTTCATCAACTGTTGTATATTTAGATTTATTTAGTGATGGAAATAAATTTAAAAAAAAAACTGAACTCTAGATAATCTTCCAGATTCTATTCTGGCCATGTTAGCCACTTTAGCATTAATTATGTTCTATGAGAAATGACATAAATAACATTTCAGCATTAATTACATTTATATTCTGCATTAAAATATTGCCTTTGAATATTTTGCATTAAAAGTTTGGCTATAAGTCTTTTTGTTCTCAGCCATAACTTTTATCATAAGTGAAAAAATATTTAAAATAAACAATTAAAATTAAATTGTAGTATTACTTGCCACTCACGCAATCTAAAAAAAAACAAATATGAAATTGAGTAGCACATACGACATGAACTCATAGACAAGAAATGCTTAAGCCCCTCCTTCATAAACAATAGCGGTATGATGTTTATCTACTGAAGGTTGTTCACACTGGTTTTAGCGTATCAGTTCCCTTCTGTAGATGCAGTTGCACAATCTCGAAATCAATTCCGTATACAAGAAACGCACTTGTGGTGCTAAACTAAAAGCGTCATTTCAAAAAGATATATATTCGGTAAAAATAATTTAAACTGCATAAAAAATGGTGTACAAGAGCAGAAATGACTGGAAATGCGCACATTTTATGCATAATGCATAAAAGTTGGTAGGTATTAACTTTTATAGGAAATGATTGAAGGTGACAGGTCGCTTTCCTTCCTTTGTTGCTCCCATCACAATTAAACCCCTTACGTTGAGATAATAGTTGAGGTGGAGGAGAAGGTATTAGTTTTCATAGGAAAACTGGTTCATGGTGGAAAAAAATGAAACATTTACGAAACTTAGACTAAAAGGAGGAAAGTTTCTCATAAAAAATATAAAAAGCTGGAAATTCTGAAGAAGGCGGAAAAATCTCATCCCTGAATATTAGAATAATTAATGAAATTATTTTATGTGAAAATCAAAGCATACAATTCAGATCGGCTTTTAATTCATTTTTTATAGTAAAAACTCTTCAAGTTCTGAGCTTTAAGTTTATTCCTTGTGTGCAATAAGTGTTTATTTTTGAACAAAGTTACAAGAAAGTTAAAAGTTCTTAACTTATAAGATAGAATTTTTTTTTAATGATGAGAAAAGAAATTTAACCATAAAGTAAAAATATATAGTGTTAAGAAAAAGGATTCAATTTAATGCACTTCAAATGGTAATAAAAATATAAAATGATCTGAAATCAGTTAAAAAAAGGTAGATGCTTTTTCTCCCTGATTCTTATTCATATTGGTATATTCTTAGCCTTTCCTCTGAATAACAATTTGTTATACAAATTTAAAGTTCTGTAATTCACTGAGTTATCTACACCCTTACCAAAAAATATTATAACTCAAAAGTCAGAAACCAAAACTCATGGTAAGCTGAATTTCCAATAGGTCAAAGTATTTCTTTGGTCCCATTAGAGCAAATTGACTATACAACACTTTCAAATGAATTTAAACTAAAAATCAATTTAAAGTTTAGTTTTCAGTTATACACATAATAAAACAATTACATAATTGAAGAGGAAACACATTACTCATTAGAATTGCTTTGACATATTACCTGTGTTTAGCTTTTACAAATGAAGGTCAAGTATGAAACATTCTCATAATGATATTTGACATGACAGTCATGTATCTTTCCCAAACTTCTAACATATGTGGATCACTAAAAATATTACGATACTTTAGATTAAAATTACTAAAAATATACTTTATATTAAAATATACAGAAAAAATCAATTGCAACACATATTTATTTCCAGTTTCAGTATTAGCTGCATGTTGATATTTTTAGTTTCAATTTTATGTAATTGTTCTTAATTTTAATTCTACACTGATATATTCAGCTTCATTTCAATTTTTATTTTAAATAGATGCCACCATAGCATACATTAAAAGACGCTTTCTTTGTGACAGGCTTCTATCTATAAAATATGAATACAAATAAAATAATTAAAGTAAAAAGTCATATTTACTCTTATATTCCTTGAAGAACACATTACATTGATATTTCGAAATCAAAGAATACATGACACCACTAATTTTAATCAAATCTTTCTTTTATTATTAACAAAATAAACACGATAGTAAATGCTATTTCTGCTTTTAAAAACAAGAGCTAATATTTTGATCTTCATTAGCAGAAAAATTGTCCCTGTTAACTTTAGAATAAATACTGAATAATTAAAAAAAGTTTTACAACAATGGATTGTCCTGAAACTTTAAACTTACCAAAGATAAAACTTCAGTAAACATTTAAGAAAAAAAAAACAACATTAAAAGTAAACATTTCTAAACAACCATATTTTTTACTTTTTTTTAATTAATTTATTTAAATCAAAACTAGACACAAGAAATTTAAAAAAAATCCCTCTAGCTTTAAGTTCCTATATTTTTAGTTAGTTAATAAAGTTGGAGTCGAAATAATTGAAATTTTCTAGATTAACTATGGACTTTGACATTTGCTGTTTTTTCTAAGCTATTGCCGTTTTACATGACATAATGAAATAAATGTTCATTATTTAACATAATTGAACAAAAAGAATTAGAAGAATGAAAATTTTAATAATGGTTCCGCAGTAAAATGCACCGCATTTTGTGGCCTTTTAAAACCATAAGAAATGAAATGTTTAAATAAAATGTGCCCTCTTCTTTTTTGACTTGTAATGTGTTTGAAATGCATCATTGTCTCACAGCTCATCTTTGAGCTACTCATATACTGCTCAGTGGTGCGACAGCGAATAGAGGGCAAAGGCCTACTGAGCCCATCTCAGTTTTCTTGACCTTGGGCTCTGGAGTGCAAGAGCAGATGTTCTGGTTGGGTGATCAGCCGAATGCAGAACCCCAGTGTTTAGTCCCCAAGTATGCTTGGCACTCATTTTATCGACCAACTGAAGGGATGAAAGGCTGACTCAACCTTGCGCATATATATATATATATAGTTTCAAAATTATCCATCTAAGATCACTAAGAGACCCAAGACACTTTGGGACAGTAAGATGTTTAAGATATCAGATAGTAGGAAATGAATTAAGATAAATAATTAAAAAAATTCTTTTGAACACAAGAGGTTATAAGACAAAAAACAAACTTTGCTTTTTTTGGAGAATAAAAGACCTGAGCTATTGCAATTCACCATTCTGTCCCCTTGAATACATTACAGAACCAGAGTAGCAAGTTTTCAAATATTTCTTGGACTATAAAGCACTCATGTAAAACTTTAACTCAAAAGAAATAACTATCTGGGATTACCACTACTTATTAAAAGTTAAAACATACATGCTATTTATTTATAAAAGTAGGTGTATGAAATCTGAAAATAAATAATCGTAGTTACTAATAGTTTACTCTTTCCATAAGAAGGCTAAAAAAGATATTTTCTTTAGTATTTAGCCTTTTTCAAAAATAAGCAGTCATGTAATGAACTTACGTCAATGAGAAGGAGTAATTAACATTAACTTAAAAGGTAATACATATCCAACAACTACAATACCTTTTACATAGGTGTGTAAGTGTGCCAGCTTCTGTATATGTTTCAAGTAGCTTTCTGAGATCTTTTTCAGCCCATCGGCTTTGGCGAAAAGTTTCGATGAACTAGATTTAAATAAGGAGAAAAGTGTTTAGAGAATACAGTAAAAATGGGCATGAGAAAAGATACAAACATTCAGAAGAAAAAGACTTATGTTGTATGATACTTTAATTAGAAAGTTTATTAAAAAATTAAATATTTTTTGACCTGGCATCTTAATTGCCACTGTCAGTAATATATCTGTGGTATTAAAAAAATTACTATATAGTAACCTAGTAAAAAGGCTCTAAATATCTCACATTTCATAACTGCCCAGTAATTTTTTTCAAATTGTTTGACTATACAGACAGAATTTTCACCCAAAGAAATTATTCAACTGAATGATAGTTATGCAATATGAAATGCTTAAATTAATATTACAAAACACATTCTTAGTTAAAGTTTCAGAAATTGAAGGATGTGTATTGTCATTGCATGTATAGCTAAATATAAATAAGGAAAATATATTGGAGCCAAAACTGAATGTCCTTATTTAATTTAGTATTTAAAATTCATGGTTTCTACAAAGCTTGCTTATCTGAACATTTTAGTTTTTTGGAAGAAATTTTTATTTTAGTCTTTTTTCTAGAAACTGTTTAATGACAAAATATTATTGTACAGAACATTATTTTCAGTAAAAGAAGACAAATAAAATTTTTGCTTTATGAGATTAGGAAGAATATACCATAATAAATAAAAGCAATATAAACTATACAAATAGATAATTAATATCGTGCTTCACTGTCAATATATTTCAAAGTTTATACAATTCTAGACAATTGGCATGGGGAGTTCTTAAGTTATACAGCAAGTAAATAGTAAAATTAACTAAAACATGAAAAAAAAATGAGCCTCAGTTTTTAAACGGTTAACAATATTATTCAAAATATACTTAAAAAAGGAAAACCAAATGAATTTCAAGGTAGTCTTTTGGAAATATACTATTTGTATTAAGACAAGAAAATATAAGGATTCCATGTTAGATGCTCTAAAAATATGGCAATAAATAGTAAAGAATTTCAAGGACAAGTCATGAAATGACAGATTATATAATGATGAAGGCAAAAAAGGTAATCAAATGGGAACTTTGTGATAAAATAAACAAAACACAAAATGCCTTTGGAGCTGCAATGGGAATATCTTAATTTTTTTTTAAATAAACAAGTATATTTTTTATTTACATAAAATGAAGCAAAATACTCTTAAAGTCCAGGCTTTTCAGGAATTTTAAGTATGTATCTAAGTAAGTAGCACATAGCAATAAAAACTTAGTACTATTTATCCTTGAAGTGATAAAGAAAAAGTAGGTACAACCCAAATTCCAAGAAAATTAATTATCTTGTTCCTAGTGACCTTTTAATAGGATTTTTTTTTTCAAAAAAAAACAAAAAAAAGTGGTAGCACAAGCATTTTTTTTAATGATTCATTTTGCAGGAACAAGTTAGTTCCACTTATCGTAATATATTATGAATATAAATATTTACAAAAGGAACTGAAGTCAGAACATAGTAATTTTCTAAGGCCAAAGTTATTAGTAAAAGAAAGAAATATCCACATGACATAAATCAATAATTACTACCACTTTTTCACATGGGTTTGATTTTTTTCAAATATGGACACTTCTTTCTTACTGGGCACTAATGGAATAAGAAGTGTTGGGTAAGACAGCTTTTGAAAGATAACCATATAATGATATGAACAGATTTTTTTAAAGCTCTTGGTTCTAATTATCTTATAAATATTTTAATGCAAAATTTTTTTTACACAAATGTTACAGAAATTTAGTCTATAAAAAATAAGGGTTACTTTCAAAAAAAAAAAAAAACTATGATGAAATGTACAAAGATATTTAATTATCAAAGAAACTATTCAATTTAATGACATTTTTCAGTAGATATGAAAAACTAAATGAACCAACGCTTTCCAAGGCAACAATCAACGAAAATGTCCAATTAACGTTCTCCAGTAAATTAAGGAACTTCTCCAAAGGAACAAGTTCCTTAACTTGGGAGACTAGTTCAAACATTAGAGAGGGGAGGAATGTGTTCACGCACCTAAACTTAATATTTCTTTAAATATATACTGTAAAGTATATGTAAATTTAATAATTTCTATGAATAACTTTATAGCAATTTTGTACAAAATGAAATATTTCTTTCAAAAAAAAAATTAAAAATAGCCCTTTGTGGTATAAATTTTGCAAAAAGTATGAAGGGAAGATATCTAAACAACATTGTCTTGGTTGTTTCTTAAAATTAAAATCAAAGTTAAGAATGTTTGCAGATTATATCGATTTTTTGTAAACCGATTAGGCCTTGCACCCATCCAGCTTTGATAACTGACTCTCTATTGGAATGCTAAATTTATGATCCCAAACAGCAAAAAATTTTAAAAAATATAAAATAAATTGCACAAATGTAAGTGGTGTGATTATTATAATCATTAAAATACATTACAATCAAATTTACCTACTCCTTCAATTGTGTCATTTATTCAGGTCTCTCTCTGTTTAAAACAGACCTGATTTGTATTGATTCCGATAATAGCAGTGCTACTATTGTTACCTCAGAAATATGGTTTGTTATTTTTAAAAATCAATATTATATAAGATTTTAAGTGCTTAATAACAGGATAAAAATAATCAAACCTAATTCTTTTTTGCTAATTGTACATTTTTAAAAATATAAACACAATATTTAAAAAAGTAATTTCATTAACAAATTTATTTGCTGTTAAAAGAAAATGGAGCTTAAAATAATTTTTCACCGTGATTTAGTTACGCATGTAATAAAACATAATTTTTACATAATAGAATGATTGTTTTTTTTTAATTAAAAACTTTTTAAAATCTTTTCTAAAGCTCAGCATTATTTCTTGGAAAACATTTCATATAAAAATTTTTGAACAAATAATAAGTTATTTTAAAGGTTCTGAAAAACAATTCCTAATCAGTAAATGAGAATTACATTAATTTTATACACTTGATAAAAATAAAAATGCTCAACACTTAATTAATTTAAAAACATTTAGCAGAGATATCAGTGTAACAATAATTAAATAAACATTGTATACCTTCTCAACAATGTCAACAAAAAGATCTCGAACTTCCTTGCTGTGATTCAAACCTGATCCAATATTCACAAATGTTCGAGTAAGGAACTAAAAAAAAAATATTAAATACTTAAAAAAATCTAAATGTAAAATCTTTCAAATCTAAACTTTGATAAACATGTTAACTTTTAGATAATTTTTCTTCTTCTACTAACCCTAAAATTTTGGTTCAAAATTTGTTTTAATAATATATTTAATATTAAAATAAATGTAATTCTAATAACAGTGTGGTTAAAACTATTAAGACAATCATTAAACATAATATTAAGTAAATATAAAATAAACATCCATTTTGTTGCTAACTTCCACACTTATTGTTACTTGCTGGGTGAAACACAGTATTAATGTTTATATTTTAATAATTGTTTCTTCTGTGTCTATGAATATTTATTTTTGCTGGTTTTCTTCTTCTATCATAAATATTTTTAATGATGCAACTCATATTAAAGATCCTACAAAATATATCAAATAAAAAATACATGAGTTATGATAGTAAGCTTAGTTCTATCGAAAAAGAATATCATAAATATTTTTTGTATTATAATTATATGCATACCTACTTATTTGCTTAATTTTTTATGACCATAACTTACAGAGAAATATATGAGTAATAAAACTACATACCTTAGAAACCATTTATCATTTGTAAAACAACCCATATCACTTAAAAATAATAAAACAACCCACTAAAAATATTTCCTTTTTATAGCATGGCAAGTAATGAGTAAGGCTCTACAAGGCCTTAAATGCCTTGTAGGGCCTTACTCATTTTGAGAAGATTTGGTATGTACTGGTTTCAAACATAACAGTGAATGGTTAGGAAACCACTAGACATCAAATAATGTTTCAACAAAGAAAACAAAACTAGAGAAAAAAAAGGGAGAAATATGTAAACATATGATTTATTTATTATTTATTTATATTTCTTTTTGCTTTTTAAAGCTTGGTTTAATTCTGTTGACATAAATCTGCTGATTAATCATTCCCCCCTCCAGAAGACACTTCACAACTGCTTTTTTTACACCCTCTTGATGATTTCTGGTGTATTTAACATGCTATAGTGCATAAGCAAAAAAATTGAGTGTCTATCTCCACTAGCTTTATATTCAAGGATAAGCATAGTTAAATAATAAAATATGTTAACTGATAACTTATAATTCAGCCATGCTCATTCACTAAAAATAGAGCTAATATTGAAAAACCAAAAGAACATATTACAAGTATTTAAATTTTCTTTTCCTACAGTTTAAATAAATATTTTACAACATTATTCACATTGTGAAAAATATATTATAAAAGACAAAATAACTTTAATGATAATAAATGATGCAACTTCATGAAAACCTTAAAATTTGAGTCCAAATCAGTATATAATCTATCAGTGAGCACTGATCTCATTGTGCCTAACACAACTGATTTCAAGTCATCATAGACATCTTTTTCAAGGAATTGTTTAAGGTCACGCAAGTCTTGAAGAAAGTCACGATCCATTTCCATTGCAGTTTCTTCATAAGTACAGTCTAAAAAAATATTAATGCAAATTATGTGAATTTTGTTTTGTTGTTGAAATATTGGTTAATATTTAAAAAAAATAATTGAAATATCTTTATAAAATAGGCAAGTTAGGGAAAACAATTATTTTTTTTAAAATTAATCTCTTTATGTATTTTCTTAATATTTTTGTAGCTCAATTTTAAATTGCACTAGTTTTTTTTAATAAAAAATAAGTCTCTAATAAATGGCAATTAATTGTAAATGAAAAGGCATATTCAAGAGTTAGTACAAAAAGATATGAAGCAAAAAAAAAAATGTTTTTTTACCATATATTCTGTTTTGAAAAAAAATCATATTTTTTCTCATTAAACCACGTTCAAATCTATTCCTAAAATTTAAAAACTGGTGAATAGAATTTGGTAGGAGAAAACTAAATCTGTGAAAAGAAAGGATTTTATAAAAAAAATCCCTTTTTCAATACTTGCAAAAATTAAGGACGAAATGGAAAAACTAGCATAACAACAAAACATGCAGTTATAACAGGGGGGAAGGTCATTGGGAAGAAGAATCATGGTAAGGTAAAGTAGAAAATTTGTATGTATGCACCATGAAGTACCGGGGCGTGTTGAGAGAAAATAAAACGAGTTGGCGGTGGAAGCTCACTATTCATGCGAATAGTATTCCACGGTATACATCAGTTTAAACTAAGTAAATTTGTTGTCACGGTGTGATATGGCCAACAGACACCACAGAAGATTACATACGAATGAGTTTATGCAAGGTTGAATCATTGGGAAGTTGGAAGATGGTTGAAGTGTGACCATGTGGCTGCAAAGTTCGGGATCACCCACAGCATCGTTTCATGAGCTTGGAACACATTTAAGAGAACAGCTCTCCAAAGGTTTAGTAGAATTCGTCCTCGCACAACCATGGTAGCGGACGACCAGTATGTAGTGCTACAGGTTAGAAAGAACAAACGGCTAACAGCAGGAGAAATCTCTAGGCGCACACACCTAAGTACTGGATGCCTAATATCGTATTTTATTGTGGCCAGGAGACTGAACAAGGTTGGTCTATTTGCATGATGGCCAGTACAGTGTGTTCCATTAACATGAGTTCACTGGAGACATAGTTTAATGTGGTGCTGGGAACACAACTGAATGGGATAGAGTACTCTTTACAGATGAGAGCAGATTTAGTATGACCTGTGTTTCTGGATATATACACATCTGGAGAGAGTGAAGAACATGCAATAACTCCATTACCATTGAAAGAGACCAATTTTTAGGAGGCAGAGTTCTTGTATGGGGCGGTATCATGCTTGGTACCTGTTCTGATCTACACATCATCCAAGGTGGTTCAGACACAGGAGGACGGCGCTTGGCAGCACGTCTCTAGTAACAATTTTGCAGCTGCGATTAGCAATACAACAGGAAAACAGGAATGGGCAGCAAAAGGTAAAGAAGCCTCAAGAGCTGCTTAACAACCTGGTTCTCAACATGGGCAGACAATGTCAATCCTGCACAGCAGCCAGAGGTGATCATATTCCATACTAAAGGCTCGAATTTGTTTGCCAATGTTGTGTAACATTGACATTTTGGTCATTTGTTCAATTGTTTCCTAAGTCCATATTTCAATAAAGCTACTTATTGTTTCTGTGGATTAAATTTTTTTTGTATGTTGTTTAATTCCCTATATTTTTAAATTTTTAGGACCCTATGGTATGATTTTTATCAATTTTCAATACTGCTGTTCAAAATTACATTTGAAAAATCACTTCGTCCTCAATTTTTGCACACCAATGTATTGTGAGTCAATAATGAAAAAAAATGCCTTATCTTGTACGTTCGGAAAGAAAATTACTTTAAGTAAAAATGGAAATAATTGATATGAAAAGCTTCCTAATTTATTCTTAGAAAAATTTTATTATCATTATTTTTTCATGAGATAAAGGTGAAGCCAGTATTAAAAAACTAGAAATAAGATTCAAACTAATTGAGCTTACCTATATATTCTTTTTAAAAATCATGAAAAATATGTTCTAGAAAATTTACATATTTGACATTAAAAAGTTGTACTTTAGAAACAATTGCATTAGAAATATATACTTTTAATTATTCAAAGTGGAATAAGTAAGAAACAATGTCAATAATACATTTACTATAGATTAATTTTATGACTGCAGTAAAACCCTTGCTGTGCATTCACACACAAAAAAAAAATAAAACTAAGTTTGGATTACAGACAGACGGATTTTCTTTACAGAGAATCAGTTTTTCCGCATGTCATTAAACGGTGATACTGTTATTGGTAGAGAAATTTGTCTATAAAGCTGTTCAATTGGCAGATCAGCTAATATACATAAAAGCATTAAAACATAAAAACTAGAACCTAAAAACCAGTAGCTACATATCTTTTTAAGTACTCTTTTCTAATACTGATCTAAGCAGATTCTCAAATATAAAGTTAAAAGCAAGATTTTCCTATTTTTATGTTAATAAATTTTATTTTTTGCAAAGCTATTATTTCTAATTTTTTTTAAACATTTCCAGAATTTCTTAGCTACAATTTTTTTTAAATTAACAAAGCTTATTCTTAAACCAATAATAATAAAAAAATTTTAGTTGGAAGTTTATTGAATTGTCTGCAATTACTTCAATACTTTTTCAACTCTAAAAATTATAAATGTTTTAACACACAATGGCATGTAATTTTAATAAACAAACATCGAAAATCTTAAAACAGCTGAAAAAGTCAAATGTTTTGTTTAGACAGGAAGAATAACAATAGAAAAAGTTATCAAGTAGCATTGATCTTTGGAATGTGTGTTGTAAAAACATGAAGTAAATTTTAGCACTGATGAAATAACTTCCAGGTACTTAATATCAACATGAAAAGAAACAGGTGCCTTTTATTCATATCAATCATTCAATCATTTGCTATCGCATAAACCCATGCCATTTAAGAATTATTCTTTTTAATGCAACTAATTTTGTAAAGGAAGATATTTAATGGATATATTTTTTTCTAGATAAAGATCAAATAATTCTTTACCCAGTTTAGAACATGACCAATTACACATCATCCAGTTGGCACAAAATAGAAAATCCTCAAAGGTTAAGTATTGGAGCTTCTTTCGGCTTGTTTCACACCTGTTATTAGTTAAATACATAATTCCAGCATATTTCCTTTAAAAAAATTTAAAAGAAAAATTAGACAAAATTTTATGACAAGACTATCTTTAATTTCATAAAAATGCTTTTAAGAACAACAAAAGTTTGATTTTTTTTAATTTGCTACAGAAAATAGCATTTAGTTAAATAATAAGTAAATATGACAATGACATTGAAAGTTCAAGTCCCTTAATATTAATTTCAATATTTCTCTATATCTCAAACACTTAAGTTAACTGAAAACTTTTTGCACACAATCATAAAACTAATTTATTCAAAGATAACTTCATGGAAAGAGTAACTTTTTTTAAAAAATTATTTATTACGATTTAACAGAATATTAGGCAGAAGAAAAATGGTCAAAAAATTATCCAATAAAAACTTTGAATCCAAAAATTGGCAAATTTCCTACTTTTATAAATACTGCTTTCATGAGCACACTTGAAGAATTATTGAAAGAACAAGTGTAATAATAGAAAAATAAAACAAACTTTAGAGAGTGAAATAAACTATGAATAATACTGAAACTGAATATTAATATAAGTGTTGGAAAGAAAAAACTAATTCTGTTTTTGGTTTATTTTTATTATTTTTAATTGCCTTAAAAAGGATATCAAATATGAAGTTATAAGTTATCATCAGAATTTATTTTCCCGAACAAGATTTATTTTTTTTAAACTGAAGTATTTTTTAATGTTATTTTTATCAGAATATCTTCCCTTTAGTTTACTTTTATTTAATTATGATGTGGCAGCACATTAATTCTTAATATAAACAAAGAGAGAAAAGGAAGCATGAAAGGAGAAAGCAGAATTAAAGAAATGTCAAGGAAAGTGGCGATTTTTTTATTCTTTGCTTATTTTTTCAATTACTGTTATGACTTTTTTCAATACTAATTCTATTACAATAAATATTCATAGAATAATTAAATTCCAATTAAGCAATAATAAATGATTAAGGAATAGAAATTGATCTTACTTATTTTTTCTCTATATATAACACATATTTTGGCCTCAGTTTACCTTAAGAAACTTATTATCTGGAAAAATATTTTACAGAAGTCTGGGTGATTTTGGATATGGGATTCTCCACTCTAAAATCGAATAACTAAATATTCCCTCCTCAGGTAATGTGAGGTGTGGTAAGGTCGGGTGAGTATAGCTTTGAATCAACAAAAAAAACATTTGTTTTAAAACTGAGATTTAGCAGAGTTATGTAAAAAAAAAGATGAAATACTTCATACTTTCAGGGAAATCTAAAACTTTTATAATAATACAAAATAAGTTGTAACTTATGAAAATAATCTTTTGTACAATTATTATTCAATTTTATCAAACAGAAGTGCATAAATTTTTAAAAAAAGATTAGTTTTGAGAAAATTGTGTCTGTTAATTTCAAAAATAGTTCATAGAAAATTATATTTTTCTGTCACTTTGTTAGCAGCTGATGGAGCTAAATAGAAAAAGTTACCAAAGGAGCTCTCTCTCTTAGAGTTCAGAACGTAATTATTAGATAAGAAATTATTAAATTTTTTTTTTAATTTCGACACCTATGTAACCTTTTAAAGTAAAGGTCTTCAATGCTTTTCTCCCAGGGTCCCAAGTGATCCATGAATAGGGCTGCAAGTTTGTCGCGGGAAAAAAGACCCCAAATTCGCGGAAAAATCGCGAGAAAGTTTGAAAATTACACAAATTCTAAACATAAAAAAATTTATTATATAAATGATGCAAAAGACAGAAATTGCGCAAATAATAAAAAAAGCTTAAAAATACACAACAAAAGTATTTCTTTGAATTTCAAGCAATATTAATATTTTTATTTAAATGAACAGAATTTTGGTACAAAGTATTGTACATTGTCAGATTATTCTCATTTATCCTTCGTCTTTCATCACTTAATACATTTTTATACTTAGAAAACGATCTTTCTGCGTCAACGCTGTTTTTAGGCACCGACAAACTTCGAATTGCCAATTTTGGAGCGTTCGGTCTTTGATTTCCAAAACTCGATCAATTTTCCTTCACCAACGCGCAATTCCTTTACCGTTGCTTTGTAAGAAGTAATTGCTGTGAAAACTCAAACATTCTACATTCAAACTACTAGATACAAGTCCCTAGTAACTACTAGTCCCCCCTTCATCTAGAAACTGATCCATATTTAAGAAATCACAGGAAGTCGCCTAGGAAAAATTAACTGGATATGTAGAGAGGCAGTAGAAATTTCATTGCCCAGTGCAATAGCATGTATAAAAAAATTTCTGTCTAAGATTTGATTTATAACATTTTCCTTCTTTTGTGATTCTAATTTCTTTTGTACTCTTACTGACTTCAGGAAGGTAATTACCCTCCTTAGGAGTAGAAAGACCACCTTAGTTTAGCGAATCTCTGAACTATTTTCATGTCATTTTGCTATTGATTCACTCCCCTAAATATCTAATCAATTTTACATGTTCAATTTAAGGTTCAGGAAAATAAAAAATTCTGTTTAATAAAAATAATAAATTAAAAAAAATCACATTGTAAGCAATTTTCGCGCAAGTCAAGACATATTGAGAAATTCGCGGATTTTAGGAAAAAAGATGACAATTTCGAGGAAATCATCGCGGAAATTCGCACCGCGACAAACCTGCAGCCCTATCCATGAATTATATTTTAATGCTCTGTTGAGTCATATCTCATATAACCATAGGTGTAGCGTCAAGGAGGGCACACTTTTTGTGTTTAGAAAACTGTTCGTCTGTTTTAAGTTTTATACATGCATTTATATATAAACATACACATATATAAAATAATAAATAAGCATACATATATCAAACCTAAAATGAATGAACAGTTTTCTAAAAACCAAAGGTGTCTCTCCCGCACACTACGTCTATGCACATCACTGCAAAACAATAGTACTACAAGTTCAAATTTTGTGGATGATGCTCATAAGAAGATTGGTGAATTGATCTATATAGTGTTTTATTATGATGGATATAATAAAACACTAAACAAGTTGATTTGGACAAAGAAGAATAAAATGATAAAAAAAAACCTATTTGACAGATACTTTAAAAATTTTAACTACAAGTATTTCCTATGATATTTATGCTTTAGTTAAAATCAATAATGAACATCACTTTAAATTTGAAATGGTATTATTTTTTCAATAAAAATATTTTTTGAACACAGTAGTAGTACTATAGATATATTTAATATCTTAGTATAATCATATTTTTTCTGTTTCAGACAACAGCAATTAAATTAATTCAACTTTATACCTATGCTTACTAACCTAAGCAAAACTGTAATTTTTCTCTTTTAAATTAATATTTTTGACTACATCATATTTTTTAGCAGGGCTTAAAAGCTATTTTGAAATGTTTCTGAAAGTTGCCAAATATGAAACATGGGCAGTAACTAAAAATAATTTAATAATTTTATGAATTACTCAAATCATAAAGTAGGCAAAAGAAATTAATGCCATTTTTGAATTACTTTGACAACAAAAATTATAAAAGAATAGTTATTACTTCATACAAATTTTTCTTTTAATGATCGCTAGGACTCATGTTGTGATGATATTTGCTTTTCTATTTGATGCTCTTTTAAGGGTCTATTCAGAGATTAAGAGATACTTCTTTTATTTAAGGGAATTTGCTATTGGTTTCTTGGGCACTTTTTTACATTTTAAAATATTTTTGACAATGGAACAATATTTTATATGAAATTTTTCAAATATTTTGCCTTTTATAACAAAACTCTTCATATCTCCTATAAGCTTGTTTTTCTTGGGTATTACTTTTTTTCTAAATTTTCATTTATGTCAAATTTTTATACAAACTTCACTTCAATAACTCTTAATATGTACTTTTAATATATATCAATTTAAGAAAGAAGTAATGAATTCAGACTGGAATTCATGTTTAATAAGGGGATTTTTTCGATTTTACTGGCACTATTTGCTTTTTAAACTGATCAAAGTCTGGGTTTTAATGATCACATATATTTTTAACCAATAGAGTTTTTTCTTCAGTTCATTAAAAAATAAGTATAACTTGTGCTTAAAATTTAAAAAAAAAACATTTGAATGAAAAAAGAATTAAATTTAAACATTTCCATTTGTAGGTAAACTGTCTAAATTGTTTCCTTTAATAAGGAACCAGAAGTGCAAATTATGAAGTCCTAGTAGTATGATCATTTTAACTTATGTTAACTATATGATAAAAAGGTCTTAAACATAATTAAAACGAAACAACCATTCAATTATAAATAATTAAAATTAAAAAAAATTTCAAACCTTGCAAGATTTTCAGAAAGTAAGAAAGTTGAGCATATGCAGTTAACTAGATCTGTAGTAGTGTCTTCAACAACTTTATAGACTCGTTTCACGTTATCAAACTAACAGACAATAAAAAAAATATAGAATTAAAAATTTATATGTGAATTTGTACGACTCTAGCGCTATACAAAGTTTAAAGAAAAATTCCCAAAATAAAGGAAATATACAGTTTTATAAGCATCTTAATAATTAATTAATGTTTAAAATAAGTTTTATAGCTTATAAGCTTTCATAGCTTATATATATCTTGTTTAAGTAATTGACTTAAACAAGCATATATAAGCTATGAAATAAATGCTATGAGCTGAAATTTTTTATATTTTTTATAAAGTTTGAAAAATTACTAATTAGAATGATTTCAGTAATTGTTAGAATTAATAAGATAAATAGAATACTCAAAATATTCCACTTTTAGAAAATCCTATTAGTTACTTACAAGTATTTTATGTAATGTTCTGGTATAATATTGTGGATCCAGAAATCATAGATAGAAAAAGATCTTGATTCTGAACAACATTCTTAAAACATTGCACCTAGTTGCAACAGTCAGAGTTGTATCATCCCTGAATACTTTGAAGCACAAATATTGTCAATTTTAAGAATTTAAAATACTCTTATTTCAATGGGATTTAAAGTTGAAAGCACATATTTTTGAATAAAAATAAGGTAGAAGGTAAAGCAAAAATTAATAAACAATTAGAAGAAAAACTATTTCAGATTACATAAAGGTATTCCCAAGAGTAGAAAATTTAAACTATATACAAGTTATGGGATGAATGAAGGCGTGATGCGACTTCTACTCACAGAGAAAACTTAAGTTTGAATCTCAGAATTAAATTCATTCCAAGATTCGCAGGAGATAGAGCGTTCGCCTCCCAATGAGGCGGGATGATACAAGTCCCAGGGCTCAAGTCCCAGTCGATACGAATTCCGCACCGGGCTTGCAACGACCACAGTGCTGACATGAAATATCCTCAGTGGTAGATGGATCATGGGTTAGAGTTCCTTTCCGTCAGGCTAACCATGGGAGGTTCTCGTGGTCTTCTCCAATGTTGATTAGCTCAACCAAAAAGTCCTCCACGAATGCAAATTTCTCCCAATACTCAGGAGTTCTCTTGTCTTCTGGATTGGGTTCAACATTACAAGGTTACGGAGTTGAACATCAGTAGTCGTAAACCCAAAATTGGGTCGGCTGTTCCTCGACGGTTATTAAAAAAAAAAAAATAGTTGACTCAAAGAATCCTTCTTTTACACAAGTATATCATGATAGTAAATAAAAACACCGGATATAGGAAAGTAGCAAAGTTCTCTTTCATCCTCATGTCTTTAATTTAACCATATAATTTTTTGTTAGTTTTGTTTAAAAAATTCATAGTTTTTCAATTCTCCTAATAGGTTTTTTTTAAAAATTATTATGAAACAATCCAAAATTTTATAGCAATCTTTCTTAAATAGCCCCCAAAAAACTATTAATTCAGTAATAGGCACTGCAGATAGAACATAATTCTTAAATGAATGCTCAACAATGCTTTATAGATCAAACGAAGAAGTAAATTCACATTTCTCCTTTATCAATATCAATGTTTGATGTTTTGATATTTAATGATATTAGGATGCATTAATGAAATTGACTTAAAATACTTATGCTTAATAAAATTTTTTGACATTTTTATTTTTTTCATTTTAATTTACAGTACTGTAGTAATATTGCATTTATTGATCTAGATCTCATTATCACAATCAAAAATTAAAAAAAAAATTGTATAAAAGTAGGAGATCTTTAGCATATTATTCTATTCTACACTAAGAATTTTGGCTGAATTAAAGAATTGGTGAAACCTTTACATGGCTTACAAGAAAGCCACATACTTTTTCAGTGTTTTCAAATGGTAATTTTAAATCAGGTAAATTACATTGAACAAATTTTATTTGAGAAAATTACCAAGTTCAAAACTGCTTTAATCAGTCATTAATAAACCAGACTATTTTATGTAAGCCTACTTTCAAGATTTGAGGTTCCTGCAAAAATAGTTTTTCCTGTGATAGTAAACTAAAGCAACATCTTTTAAAGCAAATGGAAATTTGATAAAATTCTTATCAAACTTTAGAGCAGCTTTTCTAGTTCACCAGACCTTTTATATATTTGTTTCAATTATTTGTACATAGTGGTGAATTAAGTTCTTTTAATTCTGTTCCCTTAAAACATTAATGTATAACTTTTGCTACAGCTAGAAAAAAATATTTTCTGAAACTACAGAAATTCAGGAGTAGTTGGAGGGTATGTTTAATGAATGTACTGAATAATTTTGACAAAAAGGATACATTAGCTTAATAGAACAATATTTTGAAATGTTTGTTAGATTATGTGAAAATAAAGTTCCACTAGAAGTCATTTGAAAATTTCAAAATACAATATCAGAATACTTCTTTTTTATATATTTGTTTAGAGTGAAAAATATAAATCTATTAAACATTATGTCAAATTATTTTAATCTCTGATCTTTCACATATAATGTTTTAAATCAATAATTATATTTCAAACAAAATCATATGATTACTAGCAAGACTGAAATCCTTTATTTGTGAGATAAAGACATCAAAACCTTAAAAAGTTAAAAGATGCATACTTGTCTGCGACAGCTTTTAACTTGAATGCCAGTTTTCTCACTAACATCATCTAAATCTTTACGATTGCGAGCAGACAGTTTTTTCCCCAGAAACTCTCGAATGACTGCATCATCGAACTCATAATACCTGAAAATAATATCAAACATTTTAAAATAGATGAGAAGTAAAAATATAAGAAAATAATCTACCTTAAACAAAACACTTATTCCAATTTAAATGAAAGTAAATACATCAATCCACAAAAACATCAAATTAATTCTTAATGAAATTATTTTGCTCATTATCTAGCAAAAGCATTTTCTCCTATCATTGTAATGTTTCATTTATAGAGCAAAAGGAAAAAAAAAAAGAAAATTACAGTGTTTAAATTTTAATATAATAATCATCTTTTTCAGGACCATCTCAAGGGTAAAAGGTTTGCCTAAGGTTCTATGTGAGTGATACTCGACTTTTAAACAAATATTTTGTTTATAGTCTTAAATTAAAAATGTTAATTCTTATAAGAAAATATAACTGATAGTATTTACATAAATTTTGAAATAAAAAAATTGTTTCATACAAAGTGGGGGCATTTTATTATTCATATTTTATTTAATTAATTACTTTTAAAAATTAGAAATATAATATAAAATGCCAGTTGAGCATTACTGCTTAAAATCATAAATAGCATTTTTACAGATTTGATATAGACTATTATTTTCGCAAAAAGCAACAAATATTTTAAATAGTTAAAAACATTTCTGATTATTCTTTATATTATGACTAAACATAGAAATCTCAATTACTATCAACATTTGAGACTAAATAGAAATTTGGTATAGACTTTAATAATGATATTAAAAATAAAATCATATGTTTGGAGAAATACAGTAATCCCAAATCATCATAGAGTGACCATAAAACTTATGTTAAAATATAGATTCTAAGAAATCATGGCAAATATTACTAAGCATTTATTAGCAAAAATGTTTTGGAGAATTTTAGAAAGCTATTTCACATAATAATTATCATTTTCAGAATTTTCAATGCAGATTCTGTTAGAACATTGTGTGCATTTCTTAGGATGCAGTATAAAAATTCATATCAATCAATATTTAAAATGGGAAAAGCTTCTTAAGGACTTAAAATTAACAGTGGTTTGTTGCTTTAGGGCTGCTATAATTACCAGTGGTTCGCAAGACTAACAATCAAAGTAAAAGGATGGTATGTTGTTTTGGTTTTATGATATTTAGTTTCATATTTTGGCCTGTTTCACTGTTACAAAATAACATATTTCATCATAATGTTGAATATTACACATTTTTCGAATTACAATCACAGTTAACACAACAGTTAAAACATTACAAATAAACAGTGAAATTTTGTACAGATTAGTAATATCGTTATCACTGGTCCATGGATCATTGATTGAATTGTAATGTCTACCCTTGTTTATATTGGTCACACAGTCAATAATAAATCTTATTTTAGAATTAAGAAAGTGAAGAAATAACACATCTCTTCTTAATGGATCGAGAAATCTAGATTTTTCAACAAATTATTTAATGCCTCCTTTGGTTATAATTAAGATTTTTACCTTGTTTAACATGCCTATGAAATTTTTGTCTCTTCTCATTTTCATAAGGTAAAATTAAGTATAGATTTATGCATCATTTAAAATAGAATTCTCATTTTTACAATAATACATCATATATCATTGATATGCATTAACATGTGAAACAAAATCTTGGTACTCCTAAGGAAATAAGCTTTTATTTCCTTCTTACAGGTTTAAAAAAAAAAAAAAAAAATCAAACATTTTAAAAAAAAAATACAATTGTGGTTCAAAATTATTATTTTTAACAAAGAGAAAAATTTGCACAACATTCTATCTTGCAGTTGAAGAAATATAAAAAAAATTTTTTATCCTAATATTTTTTCCATCACTGTATTATATATAGAAGCAAACTATAAAGACTTCTGTATTGCCAAATCATTTTAAATTTTCATATAATCATATTCATTTTATTTTGAAAATACAAGCTACCAAACAATAAAAGAATTAAAAGGCTTACTTTGAGACAATGAGGAGCCACTCTATTTTTTGTTTTTAATTATTATTCAGGCTGGATATTTATTTTAACAGGGGCAATATTATATCAAGTCATTATCTAAAATAAGATTTTAGTCAGTACAACAACATAACAACATAAAACATAAACCCAAAACAGCATAAAAAAGACTGAAATATAAAAACAATGAATATATAATAAGCAAAATACAGTAAGAGTATAGACTAAATTTCATAGATTCTTTACATTAATCTGTTTTTAAAATCCTTCAAAAATGAATTATTTTTGTTTTTCAGTCTGGGACATTGTTTCTGAATAAGCTTTTCATTTATAACACTATAAGAGTTTATTTAAAACATATACAAAAATTATTTTTTTATCCTTATGTCTGATGCATTTATGAATTTATTTTTAAGTGTTAAAGAGAATGCCATTAACCCCTTACCTGCCGAGTAAAATTTACGGGATTCACTCCCCAGTGCCGCCGTTTTTCGCTCAAGTGTACTTTGTTACGCGGTGTTTTGGTGGGGGAAAAAAAGATGCATCACATTCATTGCACTGATAGCGGGATTCTTGACGAATATACACGGGAAATGAAAGCGAAAGAAGAATAAACCATGCCTTACTCAAATAGAAACACAAAAGCAATAAATATTATGATATAACTTTTCCAACACATCCCTTTCCCATTCCCCCTCCCCCGAAATTTGTAATACATTCATTGCAAACACTTTCAATGACAAACATTGGCAAACACTCTCAAGGTCATTTTACTGCATTCAGAAGGCGGGGGTGTAGTTCTATTTATAGCAGTGCAATGCAAAGCGTATATATACGCCTACGGCAGTTAACGCATCGTCTGGCCGAGACGTAAATATACGCCCGCGTAAGTTAAGAGGTTAAGCTTGTAATACAATTTTTTCTTTAAAAAAAAAAATCTGTTTTTAAAAACTTAGAACCAAAAACTACCAGCCACAGTGTTGGCATTTAAAAGTGATGAATCAACTTCGTTTTCATACTAAACAATTTAATATTGTTAAATTCATCAAAAATACTAACAAAATCAATTTACATTATAATAAAAATAATAATTAAATACATACAAACAAAACTAAGCATCATGAAGCTATAAATAAAAAGTCAAGAAATTGCTAAAGAAATAATAATCCCCTAAGATCCTTTGCTTACTATCAAAGAATTATTTGAAATTAAACTTTAAAAACAGTAGAAAATAACAGGTATTAACTATCTCCTGATCAGTTTTCTCGGTGGTGAATCTATGGATTGGATTAAGGGAACAAGATCAATTAGACTATAAAAAAAACATTATATAATAGTATTGAAAACGATGCTAGATGACACACTTAAGTAAATCTAGTTTAAGATTCTTTTAAGGCACTGATGACAAATGATACTTAAACTGAAAGCATAAAGTACATGAACAACAGTCAATAATAAGTTTTGACTCAAAATAAAAGCAAACTGAAAATAAAATAATTTTTATTTTATTTTTATAAACCATATTTTATTGCTTAGTTGGAACTCACTTAAAGACGATCTCAATATCTTTAAAATATCAAAATCACTGACCTTTCAATCAACATTCTTTGAATACTTGGTGCTATTTGAAATATCCATTGTTCGGTTAATCTTTTGGGATAATGAAGCAATCTCTCAAGCATTTGGAAAGTACGATAGTGGTCCAAAACATCACTGAGCAACATACCATAATCGACATCAAAGTTTTTTAAAGATCCATGGATAAGAGAAGTTGCTCCGTCTGATGCTAAAATAGTTAAAATATGTGGCACAAAAATTTTGAAAAAATATACAAGACAAAGGGAGGAAGAAAAAAACAATTTAAAATGTAATGACAACAAGAAAAAATAATTTAAAAATGAGGAAGAATAATGTAAGCATAGCAAAAACAACCAGAGTGAGCCCATAATCAGCACAAGTGGCTAGATATTTGCAATAAATAAAAACACAACTAATAATTAATGATTTTAGGATAAGAAAGAAATGGTAATTAAAATTTATCTGAATTGAAGAAAATTTTCATACATAAACAATAATTGTCGTTAACAAGCTTAAAATTAAACTGTTGCATTTTGAGTATGCTTTATTTTTCATGATCTTTGATTGATTTAACAACACACAAAAAATCAATAAGTGTTAGAAATCAAATAATCAGCAACTCATCCAAATACACCCTCTCACAATGAGCACAGTAAGCTTTCTAAAGGTGGTTTGGTACATCAATCGTCATCCAACACAATGCGAAAATTCTTTTGCTAAAAATAGCTGAGCGAAATCAAGAGTTTGTGTATGCCCGAACAGACAAATTATGCACTTTGTTTACCCATTCACAACCCCTTCTATACACTGTGCTAATAATACAAATTATGATAAAAAATACCTAATTTTGGAATATTCCGAAGATTAGACTATCATTTTATTCCAAAATGATCCTCTTATTATTTTAAAGTTTGATCATTATTTTAAATTTTGATTATTATTTTAAATTTTGATTATTATTTTAAATCTTGATGATTATTTTAAATTTTTTATCATTTTAAACGCTTATTTATTTATTTTTCAGTAGTCAGGAAAATTACAGAAAAAGGAAACTTCTATTGCTTAGATATTTTATTTTAATAACATTAAAGAACATCATCAAACATAAATATTATTTTGCAAAATCCTTTTCCATATTAAAAATTTTCTTCTTAATTATTAAAAAAATTTAGTATAAAGTGAAGTTTACAGAGGAAAGGAGTAGGAATTTTTTGTCATAAAGCAAACTGATAAAAACTTTTCATTCTATACAAAGTTTTAACATTAAGTAAAATATATATCTCTGGGAATTTTACATTAAACATGCTACTTAAATCTCTCACTAGTAAAATTTAGTGAAATAAAGTTATACATGTTTGGCTTCAGAAGTTTTCTCAGTCATAGAAACATATAGAATAGCAGTTTTTATTATAATGATTGCACTATACACTTCAAATATATCTTGTTTTAATAGTAATTTAAAACTTTACCTTCTTGACCAGAAAGCCACATTCCGTAAATCTCAGGGTCAAGTAATGTATTATTGCCAACAAATATATCTATGTCAACATCCATGACTATTTCGAAATGATGAGGGACTAACTTGAAGATCACACTATGGTATAGATACTAACTATGATATTGCGCATTTCAACTAGTAAAGTTAGTTCCAGAAAAAAATATTAAAATCCATTTTTTAATTTTTTTATTTTTTTAGCTAAAGATATCAATGCCAAATGCATACATTCTTAACCTTAAAACGTTAACTCTTACAGGAAAAGAACTCTTTGTTAACTTATTTTAATCCCTCCTATTGTTTCAAAGAAATGCAAAATTTCCGTATACATTTAAAAAATATTACTAAAAAATAAACGAAGAGACAGTCATTAGTCGCTACAACATCTATATATGTAATATTAGAAAAAATTTAAAGTTTTGCTTCTAAAACTTTCTCTGTTTATGGTTACATAATAATTTTGTAACTTCATACCGTAAAAATAACTCAGCTTGCATATCGCATCGACATAATATAATGACGTCATTACTTATTTCGCTAAATATCTAGATGGCGCACTAATGCTGAAGGATAATATGGAGAACTAGTAAGTGCAGTAGAATTTGCTTAAAGGGAACCACGAAAGGGACGGATTTTTTTGGATCAATTTAAAATTATTTGCCACCATTTTTTTCGAAAAATTCTTTTATTAAAAATTCACTTTTTTCACGAAACACATTAGAAAAAATTGTTATTCATATTTTAGGGGTAAAAGATGAAGATATTTCGCACCTGAATAATTTCGTACCAATTTTACAAGATGTTTCATAATCATCACTACTAAAATTATTTAGATTCTTTTGCATGAAATCGGATGGTTTAGAATAAAGCTTAAATGAGAAAAAAATAATAATATTTAAAACTACAGATATAGAGCAAACTAAATATTTTTGGTTTTATATACGTTTTCATAGTTATACTTGTTATTACCCTTCGGATCTGCCTTGTACCCGGGTAAGGATAGGGAATTTGATATAATCTCTAGTTTTTGAAAGAAAAAAAAATAATAATCTTTTGTTTCTTAAGAATGTGAAAATGAAATTTGTATATAGAAACATTTACAGCTCCTTTAATTAACTATTTAACATTCTTAAAACAAATTTCAAACTGGGAACTTCTTTCAGCCCCATGTTTTCCTAAAACTGCAAAAGAACAGACCTGAGATTCTGGGACTGGATACTTATTTAGAAAAACCTCCCCTCTAAGGCGTGGAAGGAATTTCAAACTCTATTGGTTGGCTTAGCAAACAGTGCTGTAGATTTGTTTGCTTTGTTTAGATGTAGGAAAAGTCTATCACAAAAGAAAATCACATTGCTGTACAAATTAGAAAAATATATTAAAAGAATACTTCGAAACTTAATGACAAAAGCACTTATCTCTTATCTTTGCATTATAAGCTATTTCTTTCTTCTTCTTCTTTTTTTTAAAAACATTTTTCATGCAAATTAGGAAGGAATTTGAGGAGATGCTCCAAATTATTTCCAAAAAACAAACAAAAAAAAGGGATAATATCCCTTGCTTGTGTAAACTAAATAAAATGAATAAATGTGTAGTCACATAAACGGAAGGTTGAAAAGTTTTTTTTATTTATTATTAAAAATAATGCCATTGCATAAACATGGTAATAAATTTCAAAATATTATGTTTTGAGACTAGTTGAAAATGATATGTATCCCAACTTACTATTAAATTAAGCTCCTAGGTATGCCTTAATAAATTAAGTAAATTTGGTATGAAAATTCGTAATGAAAAATCTAACCTTCAACTTGCCTTAAGCTTTTCATTGTGCATTTCCGTGTCAAGTTTGCTTAACTTATTGATGGAGTCTATTTAACGGACACTTTGCTCATTTTTTCTTAAATAATTTTGTTCGCATCACGGGATTCACTTGAAACTGGTTTAATATGAAGAAATTGGCAGCATATTTTTCTAAAAAAAACATATATTTACCTAGAAATAGACATATAAATAATTTTTTAATTTAATATTCTCAATAAAGGCAAAACCATTGAAAATTTAATGCCGGGAAACATAANATATATATATATATATATACAGAGAGAGAGAGAGAGGGGGGGGGACAAAAAGGATAAAAGAAAAGTGAGATTAACGAAGAAAATTAAGAAAATAATATGTTTTATTTACTGCGCATAAGCTACAAGTTCATAAAATAAGTTTAAAACATAAAGAAAACAATTCAAAAGATATATCCCAAAGGAGAAGATAAAAATAATGAAAAAATGTCCTTAAAAAATATTCATAAACTTAAAAACAACTTAAAATTCTAAAAAAAGTGGAAAATAAAGTAAAAGTTGGAAAATATATAATCCCATCATTATATATTTTCCTACTTTTATTTTATTAAGCAAAAATTCGAAATAAAATTAAAAATTGCAAAACAATACTGTCGAACAAAATAATAAAAACTGAAGAAAATATAGAATGAAACTGTAAATGTAACATATAAAGCGAGTAAAGAATTCAAATGTACTTACACTTACAGGCATTTTTCAAAATTGATTTACAATGTTTTCGTCGCCAGATTATTATAGTATATGAAAATAGAAGCGTAAATGGTGGAGGAAAGGAATAAACTAATGGCACGTTCCTACAAATGTACAGAAGCGAGCTTGATTTGATAGTTACCTCGGATTGACCCGAATCAAGATGTGCGTAAGGTAATAATTTTATACTGGATAATTCGAAGTTTATAATTAATAAGGCTAAGTAAAAATATCCTCAGTGATAGACGGATCATGGTTTAGAGTCCCCTTGCCGTCTGACTAACCGTGGAAGGTTTTCGTGGTTTTCCTCTCCATGTAGCGTAGATACGGGTCAGTTCCGTCAAAAAAGTCCTCCACAAAGGCAAATTTCTTCCGACACTTGATCCAAGAGTTCCCTTGTCATCTGGATTAGGTTCAAAATTACAAGGCTGCGGAGTTGAACATTAGTAGCCGTAAACCCTAAATTGGGTTGACTGTTCAACGACGGGTATAAAATAAAATTAAAAAGGTTGACTTTTAATAATAAAATTTTAATATTAATAAGGTAGAATTTAGAGAAATTATTACTATTTAATGAAAAAAAAATATTCAAAATAATTCTTTTTTCAAAAAATTCGTTATTAAATATTAGAAGATTTTTAGCCTCGGATTTGCTCAAATTGAATTTGCACATGGCAAAAATAAAAATATAGTTAACAAAGAAATATTTATTCATACAATTAACTTAGCTATTTTATAAGGAATTTAATTACATTAGTTGGATATCTATTGTTTTTTATTCAATTTTGGAAAAGTTCGTCTCTTTGTTTTTTCAATAAATAATTATTGCAACAAATACCTTTAATTATATTTATTTGATTTAAAATGGTATTTAAATAAATGTTTAAACAAATATTCAAATTACATGTAACTGGTTTATTTATATTAAAATTAAAATGATTTCCTTTATCGTATAAATCAACAATGTAAATATTTTCTTCTTTTTCAATACCTAAATCCAAGAAATTTAAATTATATTATCATCATGAATACGAAGCAAAATGGATTCCTAGAGGTAAATATTATTTAACAAAATTGTGTAATTTTGAAAAATAAGTAAATTAAGCCATCAATAAATCTAAAAACAAATTCAAAAATAAGAGAATAATTTTTTTCATAATAATGTAAAAATAATTTAGCTAAGAATGATAAATAATTATATCCTTGATATATTCCATCAATTTGAACAAAAATATGTTTTTCATTGTAAAAATAATAATTAAAAATACAAAAATTAATTAGAATTTCCCAATTATCAAATTCACGATTAATGATTTTTATTTAATCATAGAAATAACTCAAAAGAACATCTTATAGTATGGAAAGGGGAATGTTATTAAAGAGATCTTGGAAATAAAAAGTAGCAATAGAAATAATTTCATTTTGTTTAATAAATTCTAATATAGGTTGTTTATTAGTGATAATCCAAGAAAAACCTTCTTTACTAGTTCTTGTTACTAGTTTTATTTAAATAGTTAGAGAAAATGGTGCTAGGTTTAATTTGGTAAGAATTAGACCTACAAGTGATTGTTCTAAATTTAATAGGAATTTTATGAAAAATTGAACTGATTATTATAGGTATCGAAATCGCATATTATTAGTTTTAATTTTTAATCTCTTTCATAAAGCTAAAATGTTTTTAATGATAATATTATTATTTAAATTACAAAGTTTAAAATTTTTTACTATTACTTAACTTCTTATTTAAAAGTTCAACATAGAATTTTTTACAGAAGATTGCATACTTATTGTTAGCTTTGTCTATGGGGTAATTGGAAAATATTTTCTTAGTTGCTTAATTGTTTGATCAATTTTTACAAATCTGTTGAAATGTTACTGTTATTTAAATTTTCTTTATTACTAAAAATGAAGTTTTCAAAGTAATAATAAACAGCTCATTTCTATTTTGTGAACATACCCAAAGGTAAAGTGAATCTATTTGCTATCTTTTAACGAAATTTATTGAGATCATTAAGAAAGTACTTCAGAATTTTATTCATTGATATTTGGTAAATGGGCCCCAAATTTTGTGACTTTTAATATTAAACTTCTTAGCTCTAAGCTTTCTAAACTATTTAAATTACCAGCAATAACATGTTTATGATGTTAAAATCTTTTAATGGAAACAAATATTTTAATTTTTCAAAAATATTATGAAATTTAATCTGTTATTATTACTTTAAAGACTTTACTTTAAATAATAAAGAAAATTTAAATAACAGTAACAATTCAACAAATTTTTCCAAAATGGATCTATGAATCAATTAAGCAACTATAAAAATAATTTTTAATTACCCCCATGGACAAAGCTAACAATAATTAGGCAATCTTCTGTAAAAATTTCTTTGTTAAACTTTTAAAAAAGGAATTAAATAACAGTAAAAATTTTAAGTTTTGTAATTTAAATAATAATGTTATCATTAAAAATTTTTAGCTTCATATAAGAGTTTAAAAATTAAAACTAATAATGTACAATTTCCATACCTAATAAACAGTCCGAAATTTCATAAAATTCCTATTAAATTTAGAACAATCACTTGTGGGTCTAATTCTTACTTAACTAAACCTGGCACCATTTTCTCTAACAATTTAAATAAAAGTATTAACAATACTATCAAAGAAGGTTTTTCTTGGATTATGATTTACAATCAACCTATCTTAGAATTTATTAAGCAAAATAAAATTAGTTCAGTTTCCAAATTCTATTACCTAAGTTCTATTCCAAATTCTATTTACAAGTTCTATTAGTTATTATTTCTATTTGATTTCCAAGATTTATTTAATAGTATTCCCCTTTCTAAACTGAAAGATGATTTTTTTGTGTTCTTACTATGATTATAAAAACATCCTTAATTGCGATTTTGATTATTGGGAAATTTTAATT